AAAAGGAAAATAGATTTAAGGAAGTGAGGATGACGTCTCGCACTAACCACGAAATGGTACCACACTCAGGGAAAGCCCGAGAAACCGCCATTGAGAGTACTCGCATCCCCGAGCTCCATCGGATGGCTAGGCCTCGAGAGAAGATGACGCGCAGCTCTGACCATCTCTGGGGCCAGGAAGATGGATTGGAAGGGAAGGAGCCGAGATTTAAGGCTGAGCTTGCGGTGAGGAAGTCAGATAGAAGGAGAGGAGACAGGAGAGAGAGAGAGTGAGAGCCCCCCTCTCTGCCGCAACCGGCCCGACCTCATGTGGTGCTGTTCAGCATTGCTCTGCCTCCCGGTCCCGTACACCCTCGAGAGGTCCCCCCGTGAAGCACCTAGATCCGATGATAGGCCGTTCCAGGGGCCACGTGGGAAAACTTTTCCCTGAGCCCATATCTCTTTTGATGGAATAGGGCACCGCGAGACCCATGCCAATCCGTGCTTGTACCTGCTCTTGACGAACGTGTAAAATGAGCAGAGGCAAGGAGAAAAACAGATGTATTAAAGTGAGAGAGCATTAAGAGCGCGACGCGACGGGGGGAGTAGGTCAATGCAGACGCGAGAGTAGCGCAGCAAGGAATTTGCGGGCCGTCTATTGCACAAGGGGTTTTGGGAAGTTCGCATCGAGGTCGATCAATTCTGCGTTGAGATATTGCGTCGGGAGCGAGTAGCCGAATCATCAAGCAAATTTACGGAGTTGGTGATGGGGCGAATAGAATCTGGCAGCGCCCAGGGAATCGGTCTTAGCTGCCTGCCTGTACTGAACAGTAACAGTCGAAGATGCGACATAACATCTAGGCGGGCACGATCGATTCTGGGCTAGTGTCGTGAGACGATGATTTCGTTGTTAGGACCTCGCGTCTAGTTCGGTGATGTATTGAGGAAGAACGGTGTTGATCGATGGAACCTTATGGGGAACAGAATGTCAAAAACGTTAGATGGTGATAAAAGGGGTTTGGGAGGAAAGTGTCCTTCGATGAGAGTAGGGCCCTGTCAGTCTGCAGGGCGTGCGCGAGAGCGGATATCGTGAGAGCAAACGCGTTGCCAACTTGCGCGCGGGTCAGATCATAGAGAAGGCAGATGGATAGGACGCACATAAAGGCCGGGAGCAATGTGAACCCTGAACAAGTGGACTTAGTTATAAAAAGGAGTGGAAGGATGACGCAATAACCAAGAGTACGGGGGAAGTCGGTTTTCAGAGATCTCTACGTATAGAAAATACAAAGGAGGCGTTTCATTCTCTTTTTGGCCGTGGTGTGCGGCGGCTTCGTGTGCCTTTGAGTCAATGGGGTGGACTTACCCGGCGTAGCGAAAGATAGAAGCTGAGAGATGAGAGCGACAGCGAAGAGACAGAGAAAGAGACAGTGAGAGAGAGTACGAGAGAGCGCGGCGCGCGAGAGGGTCGAGGGTGGTGATGGGCTCATAGAGAGGAGAGAGAGAGAGATGTTGAGACAAATGTGAAAGATACTAGGATGATGGACCCGCGCTTCTTAATGTGCGTCGCGCCCTCTCCCGAGGGGGGAGGAACCAACATGAGAGGATGCAGGTGAGGCCGGCGAAAGAGCTCGAGAAACTGGAGATACAGAGAGAGAGAGACAGAGAGAGAACCACAAATTAAGAAAGATAAGGCCAGAGACTAAAAGTGAGCTCTAGTCTGAACCATAAAGATGCGGGACTTTGAGTGAGGAGCAGTGAAGCAACGACGTGATGTTCGTAGCAGGTTGGGGTACGTCGCTTTCGTAGAGAGAGAGAGAAGAGACACACTTGAAGACTCTCCCTGCACCTCCCCCCCCCGGCACGGCATTCCCCCGCCTCCCCCAGCCCGCCTACCTCCACGAGAACTGTTCTCTCCCTCAGTCAGGGAGGGAGGAGACGGAAGGGAGAGGAAGAGAGGCGGTGAGAGAGTGAGACACACTGGAGCTATACCTCAAAGGCACCAGGACAGAGCGCAGAGAGAGAGACAAGAGAGAGACAGAGAGAGACAAGGAGAGAGAAGAGTAGCAGGAGAGTGAAGAAGGTAGAAGGAGAGAGACATAGCTGAGAGAGAGAGAGAGAGAACAAGAGAGAGAAGAGGAGGAGAGAAGACAAGAGGGGGTGGTGGTAGAGAGAGAGAGAGAGAGACCCCAGAGATAGAGAACCCCAAGAGAGAGACCAAGGAGAGAGATCGAGCAGTAGACCACAGACAGTAGAGAGAGAGACACAGAAAGAGAAGAGAGCGAACCAGAGAGAGAGAGATAAGAAACCAGAGAGAGAGAGACCAGAGAGACAGGAGAGCGGACGAGGAGTGTGACTTAACAAGATCGGCGTAGAACAAATATCGCACAGTGGGGAATGAAGAGGGATAGACGGTAGAGATGGAGGGAGGAGTGATGTAGTAGACAGAAGAGACGAGAAGGAGCGTGAACAGTCCCTTGAGACGAGAGTTTGAGAGTGAGAGAGACAAGAGTGGGAGAGGACAGAAGATCCGAGACAGAGAGAGAAGTGAGAGAGAGAGATGATACTCGCTTTCCTTGACGGGACCGGGGTGCCCAGAGTGGGTGGTCGTACTACCCTCAGACCGTGGTGATCGTTCCTTGCGTGTGTCTCTTGCGAGAAAATGGAGGATCGGAACTATCCGTGCGCCAGGCGTTGGCGTTCTGACGCAGGATCGAAGAACGGAACAGGAGAGATTGGCGAGAGCGAGAGAGGAACGAGAGACAGCAGTGACACCAGAGACGAGATAGAAGAGTTGAGAGTACAGAGAGCCAGTAGAACGAGAGAGAGAGCGAGAAGAGAGAGAGTGAGAGAGCAGCGAGGCGATGAGAGAGAGAGAGAGAGAGACTGCCCTCCTTTAGGTCGGGTGGCGAGTCCTGCTTCTTGCTGGGATCCTAGTGATCTCGTGGTTGGGGGGTGAGTGGGGACGGAGAGACAGCGAGAGAGAGAGTGACAGAGTGAGAGAAGACCAGAGAGAGGGAGAGAGAGAGAGAGTGAGAGAGGAAGAGGACAGAGAAGAGAGAGAGAGGAGAGAGACGAGAGAGAGAAGATTGTGTCGTCGTTTTGCCCGACATGCGGATTGGAGCGGGTCCGGGCTCATAGCTTCACGTTTTCCTCTTGACGAGTGATTGGCTTTAGTCCCTCTCGTCGTCCCCCAGTGATGCAGGGGTGTTATGTTTCGTGTCCCGTTCGGATGGAGACGATCGAATCGAGTCCATCGAGTTGTCCCGGAGGCGGGGAAATTAAAGTTTAGCATTGTCCGGGAGGAGGAGATTGGAGGAGAGAGACTGGAGGATCAGAGACGAGAGAGAGGAAGAGAGGCAGAGAGAGAAGCTCACTTTTATCTCTGCAGTGAAGGAGGTGTGGAGGGGCGGACAGAAAGCAGAGGAGAGAGGAGGCTACATTTCATCTTGCAGATGAAGGAGGTAGAGGAGAAGAGAGAGGGAGGAGTGGAGGCGAAGAGAGGATGTCATAGTCATTCTTGACAGTGAAGGAGGTTGAGAGGAGACAGAGCAGAGGAGAGAGGAGGAAGAGAGGAGGAACTTTTATCTCTTGCAGTGAAGGTGGTTGGGAGGAGAAGTGCAGACGAGGATGAGAGGAGGAGAGAGGCGGCTCACATCTTTCATTCTGCAGTTGCAGGAGGTAGAGGAGACGGCAGAGGGAGAGGAGGAGGCTACATCTTCCTCTCTGAGTGGAAGGTAGGTTGAGAGGAGACCAGCAGAGGAGAGAGGAGGAGAGAGGCGGCTAATCTTATCTCCTGATGATGATGAGGTTGAGGAGGGAGAGAGAGGATGAGTATGGGAGAGAGGAGGCTAATCTTATCTTGCACTGTGAGGAGTGAGAGGAGACGAGCAGAGGACGAGAGGAGGAGAGAGGAAGGCTCTTTCTTCCTCTGGTAGATGAGGAGGTGAGAGGAGACAGAGCAGAGGAGAGGATGGGAGAGATGGAGGCTCACATCTTCATCTCTGCAGTGATAGGAGTGTGAGAGGGAGACAGCGCAGAGGAGCAGAGGAGGAGAGAGGAGGTCAATCTTCATCTCTGCAAGTTGTAGGAGGTGAGAGGGAGACAGTAGAGCAGAGGATTGAGAGGAGGAGAGAGGAGGTCTCATCATCTTCATCTCTGCAGTGAAGGAGGTTGAGGAGGAGACAGAGCAGAGCAGAGAGGAGGAAGAGAGGCGGGCCACATTATTCATCTCTGCAGTGAAGGAGGTGAGGGAGCGTGATGAGCAGAGGATGAGAGGGGAGAGGGGGAGGCTCACATCGTCATCTCTCAGTGAAGGAGTGAGAGGAACTGAGCAGCACCGAGGGAGAGAGATGGGAGAAAGAGATCACAGATTACATCTATGCATGAAGGAGGGTCTGAGAAAAGAGCACCAAGACATGATGGAGAGGAAGAGGAGAAGTGGCTGCACATCTCATCTCTGGCATGGCAAGGAGTGAGAGAGACAAGAGCAGCAAGGAGAGACAGGTATAAGAGGAGAGAGGAGCTCACATCTACATCTATCTGCATGAAGGAGGAGAAGGAATCAGAGAGCAGAAGGAAGAGGAAGAGAGGAGGGCTCACAATCTTCAACTCTGCAGTGAAGGAGGTGAAGAGACAGAGCAGAGGAAGAAAGAGAGGAGGAGAGAGGAGGTAATTTCATCTCTGAGTTGAAGGAGGTGAGAGGAGAGACAGTCGCAGAGGAGAGAGGAGGAGAGAGGAGGCTACATCTTTATCTTGCAGGTTGAAGGAGGGTGAGAGAGACAGAGGAGCAGTGGGAGAGGAGGAGAGGAGGAAGGTAACATCTTCATCTCTGCAGATGAAGGAGGTGAGTGGAGGACAGAGAGAGGTGAGAGGAGTGCTCACATCGTCATCACTGCAGTGAAAGGAGGGGAGAGGAGACAGAGAAGAGGAGAGAGGAGGAGAGAGGGGCTCACATCGTATCTCGGCAAGGGAAAGGAGGGTGAGAGGAGACAGAGCAGAGGCTGAGAGCGAGGACGAGAGGGTGGCTCACATCGTCATCTCTGCAGGTGTAGGATGTGATGAGGTGACAGCAGAGGGAGAGGGAGGGAGAGGGAGGCTCAATCTTTCATCTTGCAGGTGAGGTGGTGAGAGGAGAAGAGCAGAGGAGAGAGAGGTGGAGGAGAGGAGGCCTCCACATCTTCATCGCTGCAGTGAAGGACGGTTGAGCGGAGACCGAGCAGAGGTTGAGAGGATGGTAAGACGAGGAGGCTTCACATCTTCAACTCTCATGCAGTGAAGGGAGGTGAGCGGAGACAGAGTCAGAGGAGATTGAGAGAGATGAGAAGGAGGCTCACATCTTCATATCTGCAGTGAAGGGAAGGTTGAGAGGAGACAGAGCAGAGGAGAGACGGAGGAGAGAGAGCTCACATCTTCATCTCTGCTGTGAAGGAGGTGAGAGGAGACAGAGCGAGGAAGATGAGGAAGATGGAGAGGGGAGGATCACATCTACATCTCTGCAGTGAAGGAGGTGAGAGGAGACAGAGCGAGGAAGGAGAGCGCGAGGAGAGAGAGGAGGCTACATTCATCATCTCTGCCAGATGAAAGGAGGTGAGAGGAGACGAGAGAGGAGAGAGGAGGCTCACATTATTCTCTGCAGTTGAAAGGAGGTGAGTGGAGACGAGCAGAGGTAGACGAGGAGGATGATGTGGAGGCTGCTAAACATTCATTCTGCAGGGAAGGGGGTGAGAGGAGAAGGAGCAGAGATGAGATGGAGGATCATTCTTCATCTCTGCAGTGACGAGGTGAGAGGGAGAAGAGCAGGGTGAGAGGCTGGAGAGGGAGGCTCATCATCTTCATCTTCTGCAGTGTAGGAGGTGAGAGGGAGACAGTGCAGTGGAGTGAGGAGGATGGGCAGTGAGGAGGCTCATCATCTTCATCTTGACAGTGTGAAGAGAGGGTGAGGAGGTGACAGAGCAGAGGTGAGGGAGGAGAGAGGAAGGCCTCACATATTCATTCGATGCAGTGAAGGAGGGTGAGAGGAGACAGGGAGCGGGGAGGGAGAGGAGGAGAGTAGGAGGCTCACATCTTATTCTGCAGTGAAGGAGGTGAGAGGAGACAGGCAGAGGGAGGAGGAGGCTATTCTTCATCTTGCAGTGAAGGTGGGTGAGAGGAGACAGAGCAGTGGAGGAGGAGGAGAGAGGAGGCTCTCATCTTCTCTCAGCAGTGAAGCGAGGTTAGAGAGGACAAAGAGCAGAGGAGCGTGAGGGGAGATAGGAGGCTACATCTTATCTCTGCTGTGAAGAGGTTAGAGGAGACAGAGCAGGGCGAGAGGAGGAGAGGGAGGCTCACTTCTATCATGCAGTGAAGGAAGGAGAGAGGAGACAGAGCAGGGTGAGACGCGGAGAGATGGGGAGAGGAGGCTCACATTTCATCTCCTGCTAGTGAAGGAGGTGAGAGGAGAGGAGAGCAGGAGAGATGAGGAGAGAGGAGCGTCACATCTTCATCTCTGCAGTGAAGGAGGTGAGAGGAGACGATGCAGAGGAGAGAGGAGAGAGAGGAGGCTCACAATCTTCAGTTGAAAGGAGGTGAGAGGAGACAGCGCAGAGGAGAGAGGAGAGTGAGAGAGGAGGCTCACATCTTCATCTCTGCAGTGAAGGATGGGTAGAGAGGAGACAGAGCAGAGGAGAGAGGAGGTCACATCTTCATCTCTGCAGTGAAGGAGGTGAGTAGGAGACAGAGCAGAGGAGGATGGGAGAGAGGAGGCTCACATCTTCATGCTCTGCAGTGAAGGAGGTGAGAGGAGACAGAGCAGAGGAGGAGAGGAGGAGAGAGGAGGCTCACAGCTTCATCTCTGCAGTGAAAGAGCGTGTGAGAGAGCGGAGACAGAGCAGAGGACGAGAGGCAGGAGAGAGGAGGTTCTCACATCTTTCATTCTGCAGTGAAGGAGGTGAGAGGAGACGGAGACAGAGGAGGAGAGTAGGAGGAGGAGGCTAATCTTCATCTCTGCAGTGAAGGAGGTGGAGGAGAGACGGAGCAGAGGAGAGAGGAGGGGAGAAGTAGAGAGGCGGCTACATCGCTTAATCTTTGCAGTGAAGGAGGTGAGAGGAGACCCAGAGCAGAGCGAGTGTGGAGGAGAGAGGAGGCTACATTTTCTTCTTATCATGCAGTGAAGGAGTGGCCAGTGAGAGGAGACAGAAGCAGAGGATGAGAGGCGGAGAAGAGAGGAGGCCTTCACATCGTTCATCTCCTGCAGTGGAAGGAGGTGGAGAGGAGGACAGAGCAGGAGGTGGAGGAGGAGACAGAGGAAGGGCTTCACATCTTCATCTCTGCAGTTGAAGGAGGTTGAGAGGAGACAGAGCAGAGGAGAGATGGGTGAGAGGAAGGTCACATTTCATCTTGCAGTGAGGAGGTTGAGAGGAGAAGAGCAGAGGAGAGAGGAGGCTACTCTTCTTTCTGCAGTTGAATGTTGGTGAGAGGAGACACGAGCAGAGGATAGGAGAGGTGGTCGAGTGGAGGGTCACATTAGTCATCTCTGCAGTGAAGGAGGTGAGCAGTGAAAGAGCGAGTGAGAGAGGAGGGAGTGTGAAGCGATCATTCTTCATCTGAGCTGCAAGGAGGTGAGAGGAGGGACAGAGCAGAGGAGTGTCGAGAGGAGGAGAGAGGTGGAGCACATCTTCATCTCTGCAAGTGGAAGGAGGTGAGAGGTAGACAAAGAGCAGAGCGATGAGAGGAGGAGACGAGGTGGCCTCACATTCCGTCAATCTCTGGCAGTGAGGAGGTGAGAGGAGACAGAGCAGATTGGACAGAGTGGAGCGACCGAGAAGGAGGCTCTCACCTGCTTCATCTCTGGCAGTGAAGGAGGTGGTCAGAGAGGAGTACGGAGAAGTAGGAGAGAGGTGGAGAGATGGAGGACTCAATCTTCATTTCTCTGCAGTGAAGAGGTGTGAGGTGACCCCCAGTGGCAGAGGACGAGAGGAGTGGATACACTCATATTCAATCTCTGCGTGAAGGAGGTGTGAGGAGACAGAGAGAGGTGGTGGAGGTCGTGAGAGAGGTGGCACATCATATCCATCTCTGCAGTGAAGGAGGGTGAGAGGTGACAAGAGGCAGAGGAGAGAGGAGGGAGTAGAGGAAGGCTCACATTTAATCTCTGCAGTGATGGAGGTGAGGGAAGAAGAGCAGAGGGGAGAGAGGAGGAGAGAGGAAGGCTAACATCTTAATCTCTGCAGGAAGGTGGTGAGAGGAGTCAGAGCAGGAGGAGTGAGGAAGAGGAGGAGGTCACATCTTCTTCTCAGGAAGGAGGTGAGGGAGACAGAGAGAGGAGAGAGGGGAGTGTGAGGAGGCTCACATATTTCATCTCTGCAGTTGAAAGGAGGTGGAGAGAGCAGAGAGGGAGAAGGTGGAGGAGGAGAGGAGGCTCAATCTTCATCTCGGCAGGTGAAGGAGGTGAGAGGAGACAGAGCAGAGGAGAGATGGGAGCGAGGAGGTAATTATCTCTGCAGGTGAAGGAGGTGAGAGGAGAAGAGCCGAGGAGAGAGTGAGGGGAGACGAGGAGGCCTCACATCTTATCTCTGCAGTGAATGGAGGTGAGAGGAACAACAGTAGAAGGACACACTACTTTTACACACACACACACACACAACAGTAGAGTAGAAGGACACACTACTTCTACACACACACACACACAACAGTAGAAGGACACACTACTTATACATACACACACACACAACAGTAGAAGGACGCACTACTTCTACACACACACACACAACAGTAGAAGGACACACAACTTCTACACACACACACACAACAGTAGAAGGACACACTACTTCTACACGCACACACACAACAGTAGAAGGACGCACTACTTCTACACACACACACACAACAGTAGAAGGACACACAACTTTCTACACACACACACACACACACACACAACAATAGAAGGACACACTACTTCTACAGACACACACACAACAGTAGAAGGACACACTACTTCTACACACACACACAACAGTAGAAGGACACACAACTTCTACACACACACACACACACACAACAGTAGAAGGACACACAACTTCTACACACACACACACAACAGTAGAAGGACACACTACTATACACACACACACACACAACAGTAGAAGGACACACTACTTCTACACACACACACACAACAGTAGAAGGACACACTACTTCTACACACACACACACAACAGTAGAAGGACACACTACTTCTACACACACACACACACAACAGTAGAAGGACACACTACTTCTACACACACACACACAACAGTAGAAGGACACACAACTTCTACACACACACAAACAACAGTAGAAGGACACACTACTTCTACACACACACACACAACAGTAGAAGTACACACTACTTCTACACGCACACACACAACAGTAGAAGGACACACAACTTCTACACACACACACACACACACACACAACAGTAGAAGGACACACAACTTCTACACACACACACACACACACACACAACAGTAGAAGGACACACTACTTCTACACACACACACACACAACAGTAGAAGGACACACAACTTCTACACACACACACACAACAGTAGAAGGACACACAACTTCTACACACACGCACACACACACAAACAGTAGAAGGACACACAACTTCTACACACACACACACAACAGTAGAAGGACACACTACTTTTACACACACACACACACACAACAGTAGAAGGACACACTACTTCTACACACACACACACACAACAGTAGAAGGACACACAACTTCTACACACACACACACAACAGTAGAAGGACACACAACTTCTACACACACGCACACACACACAACAGTAGAAGGACACACAACTTCTACACACACACACACACACAACAGTAGAAGGACACACTACTTTTACACACACACACACACAACAGTAGAAGGACACACTACTTTTACACACACACACACACAACAGTAGAAGGACACACTACTTCTACACACACACACAACAGTAGAAGGACACACTACTTATACATACACACACACACAACAGTAGAAGGACGCACTACTTCTACACACACACACAACAGTAGAAGGACACACAACTTCTACACACACACACACAACAGTAGAAGGACACACTACTTCTACACGCACACACACAACAGTAGAAGGACGCACTACTTCTACACACACACACACAACAGTAGAAGGACACACAACTTCTACACCCACACACACACACACACAACAATAGAAGGACACACTACTTCTACAGACACACACACAACAGTAGAAGGACACACTACTTCTACACACACACACAACAGTACAAGGACACACAACTTCTACACACACACACACACACACAACAGTAGAAGGACACACAACTTCTACACACACACACACAACAGTAGAAGGACACACTACTTATACACACACACACACAACAGTAGAAGGACACACTACTTCTACACACACACACACACAACAGTAGAAGGACACACTACTTCTACACACACACACACAACAGTAGAAGGACACACTACTTCTACACACACACACACACAACAGTAGAAGGACACACTACTTCTACACACACACACACAACTTCTACACACACACAAACAACAGTAGAAGGACACACTACTTCTACACACACACACACAACAGTAGAAGTACACACTACTTCTACACGCACACACACAACAGTAGAAGGACACACAACTTCTACACACACACACACACACACACAACAGTAGAAGGACACACAACTTCTACACACACACACACACACACACACAACAGTAGAAGGACACACTACTTCTACACACACACACACACAACAGTAGAAGGACACACAACTTCTACACACACACACACAACAGTAGAAGGACACACAACTTCTACACACACGCACACACACACAACAGTAGAAGGACACACAACTTCTACACACACACACACACAACAGTAGAAGGACACACTACTTTTACACACACACACACACAACAGTAGAAGGACACACTACTTTTACACACACACACACACAACAGTAGAAGGACACACTACTTCTACACACACACACACAACAGTAGAAGGACACACTACTTATACATACACACACACACAACAGTAGAAGGACGCACTACTTCTACACACACACACACAACAGTAGAAGGACACACAACTTCTACACACACACACACACAACAGTAGAAGGACACACTACTTCTACACGCACACACACAACAGTAGAAGGACGCACTACTTCTACACACACACACACAACAGTAGAAGGACACACAACTTCACACACACACACACACACACACACAACAATAGAAGGACACACTACTTCTACAGACACACACACAACAGTAGAAGGACACACTACTTCTACACACACACACAACAGTAGAAGGACACACAACTTCTAACACACACACACACACACACAACAGTAGAAGGACACACAACTTCTACACACACACACACAACAGTAGAAGGACACACTACTTCTACACACACACACACACAACAGTAGAAGGACACACTACTTCTACACACACACACACAACAGTAGAAGGACACACACTACTTCTACACACACACACACAACAGTAGAAGGACACACTACTTCTACACACACACACACACAACAGTAGAAGGACACACTACTTCTACACACACACACACAACAGTAGAAGGACACACAACTTCTACACACACACAAACAACAGTAGAAGGACACACTACTTCTACACACACACACACAACAGTAGAAGACACACACTCACACACACACACACATAGAAGGACACACACACACACACACACACACACACACACACACAACAGTAGAAGGACACACAACTTCTACACACACACACACACACACACACAACAGTAGAAGGACACACTACTTCTACACACACACACAAACAACAGTAGAAGGACACACAACTTCTACACACACACAACAGTAGAAGGACGCACTACTTCTACACACACACACACAACAGTAGAAGGACGCACTACTTCTACACCCACACACACAACAGTAGAAGGACACACTACTTCTACATACACACACACACAACAGTAGAAGGACACACTACTTCTACACACACACACACAACAGTAGAAGGACACACTACTTCTACACACACACACAACAGAAGAAGGACACACAACTTCTACACACACACACACAACAGTAGAAGGACGCACTACTTCTACACCCACACACACAACAGTAGAAGGACACACTACTTCTACATACACACACACAACAGTAGAAGGACACACTACTTCTACACACACACACACACACACAACAGTAGAAGGACACACAACTTCTACACACACGCACACACACACAACAGTAGAAGGACACACAACTTCTACACGCACACACACAACAGTAGAAGGACACACAACTTCTACACACACACACACACAACAGAAGAAGGACACACACTACTTCTACACACACACACACACAACAGTAGAAGGACACACTACTTCTACACACACACACACAACAGTAGAAGGACACACTACTTCTACACACACACACACAACAGTAGAAGGACATACTACTTCTACACACACACACACAACAATAGAAGGACACACTACTTCTACAGACACACACACAACAGTAGAAGGACACACTATTTCTACACACACACACACAACAGTAGAAGGACACACAACTTCTACACACACACACACAACAGTAGAAGGACACACTACTTCTACACGCACACACACAACAGTAGAAGGACGCACTACTTCTACACACACACACACAACAGTAGAAGGACACACAACTTCTACACACACACACACACACACACAACAATAGAAGGACACACTACTTCTACAGACACACACACAACAGTAGAAGGACACACTACTTCTACACACACACACAACAGTAGAAGGACACACAACTTCTACACACACACACACACACACAACAGTAGAAGGACACACAACTTCTACACACACACACACAACAGTAGAAGGACACACTACTTCTACACACACACACACAACAGTAGAAGGACACACTACTTCTACACACACACACACAACAGTAGAAGGACACACTACTTCTACACACACACACACACAACAGTAGAAGGACACACTACTTCTACACACACACACACAACAGTAGAAGGACACACAACTTCTACACACACACAAACAACAGTAGAAGGACACACTACTTCTACACACACACACACAACAGTAGAAGTACACACTACTTCTACACGCACACACACAACAGTAGAAGGACACACAACTTCTACACACACACACACACACACACACACACAACAGTAGAAGGACACACAACTTCTACACACACACACACACACACACACAACAGTAGAAGGACACACTACTTCTACACACACACAAACAACAGTAGAAGGACACACAACTTCTACACACACACAACAGTAGAAGGACGCACTACTTCTACACACACACACACAACAGTAGAAGGACGCACTACTTCTACACCCACACACACAACAGTAGAAGGACACACTACTTCTACATACACACACACACAACAGTAGAAGGACACACTACTTCTACACACACACACACAACAGTAGAAGGACACACTACTTCTACACACACACACAACAGTAGAAGGACACACAACTTCTACACACACACACACAACAGTAGAAGGACGCACTACTTCTACACCCACACACACAACAGTAGAAGGACACACTACTTCTACATACACACACACACAACAGTAGAAGGACACACTACTTCTACACACACACACACAACAGTAGAAGGACACACTACTTCTACACACACACACAACAGTAGAAGGACACACAACTTCTACACACACACACACACACACAACAGTAGAAGGACACACAACTTCTACACACACACACACAACAGTAGAAGGACACACAACTTCTACACACACACACACAACAGTAGAAGGACACACTACTTCTACACACACACACACACAACAGTAGAAGGACACACTACTTCTACACACACGCACACACAACAGTAGAAGGACACACTACTTCTACACACACGCACACACAACAGTAGAAGGACACACTACTTCTACACACACACACAAACAGTAGAAGGACACACTACTTTTACACACACACAAAGAGTAGAAGGAAACACTACTTTTACACACACACACACACAACAGTTGAAGGACACACTACTTTTACACACACACTTGTAGATGGGTGGCTGGTGAGTCTGTAAGTGGGTTGGTGATTGTGTAGTAGTATGGATTGTGTAGTAGTATGGATTGTGACCTTTGTTCTGCATGTGTTGTTTATGGGGCCCCGCCTATATGCTAATGCAGCTTCCAGGGAGATCCCTTTGTAAAAGTGTATAACCTGTATGGCTACAAGTTTGGTAAATAAAAGAAAGTAAATAAGATTTCTGGGTCGGGGGGGTGGCAGTCAGAGCAGCACCCAGTACACAGAGCACCAGCCCCTCACTGATCCTCCTGCAGGTAAGTCCACAGGAGGCTCGTTCTTTAAGTGTCTTGCCCAAGGACACAACGACAACAGTCATCAGTGGGAGTCATGAAGTAGGTCGAACCCACAACCTTCAGGCCCAAAGGCCAGTGCTCTACCAACTGAGCCACTGTCTGTTTAGATAAAGCCACTTTCCATGTAGCAGAGGATACAGGGGTCAGACAATCCTAACCATACTGACACTACTTCCAGTATCATGCTGTGGAGCTGCTTTTCTTCAGCTGGGACAGGAAAGAGTGTCAAGCTTAGTGTAAAGGTGGATAGAGTAAAATATAGGACAATTTTGGAAGAAAAACTTATGGAATCTGCAAAAGAGTTGAGGTTGGGGGATAGACGTCGGAACTAGGGGTGCGGGGGGTGCGGCCGCACCCCCTCCGCGTGTGCCGGGAGCGAGAAGTTATCACTATCCTGCGTTCCTTGCAGCCCAAAACCCGCTCCATGCTGTCGGAGAAGCTTATGAAGCTCTGTCTGGCTAATATCTGTCGCAGCCTCTGAGCGCTCTTTCTCAGCCTTGCGCAGATTAAAGACCTGGCTACACCAGTGACGTGCGGTGGGGGATCAATCATGTGTTCATATGATTATACATCATATAAACCAACAGGACCTACAGGAACAGGAGCGGCTTATACACAATTTGTTTGGCTACAGCAGAATATGATTTAATGTCTGCATTGTTTTCTCATACAAAACGCAAACGTTTGTAAAAAGTACAAAGTGTGTTATGGGCCTTATACCTTAGGTGTTAATGAACAGCACAGACCACTTCAGTTAGGACCAGTTTCATGTTTAAGTCCAGATAATAGTTTGAGCACAGACATGTAATCCTCCATTTGGAAATAAGTTCAATGAGTTTTAAAAAGTAAAAAAAAACGGGTGTCTCCTCCGTAAACTGCGAGTTTTGCTGCAGCCGACTCCCGGGTAAATCCAATTTCTAAATTCAACCTTACCCTTCACCTCTTTTTCTTATGATTCATATCATCATTGGAAGCAAAACATTACTCTAAGTGCATTTTAAATTATCTTAAAATGTATTATAGGTATGTTAGCCAAACCTGTAGCTGCCCTTAGCAGAAGAAGAACAAGAAAGGAGCTTTCTGATGGAATTGGATGCAGCCAAAGTTTGGGCTCACAAGCGCCCCCTTGAGGCTTTCCTCACTTACAAGCTGTGGTTGAGCGCGATTAAGACCCATATTTGCTTCAAAAACACAATTTATGAGCCATCCTCTTAAATGTAAACATGTTGATTGTAAATTAAATATTTTTGAACTTTTTAAACTGTGATAAACAGAGAAAACAGTTTGATAGCACCTCACAGGACTCTCCCTGTGAGCTGTTGCTTTTTACGTCTCCCAAGAGAGGCTTGCCTCACAGCGCCGCTCTGTCAAATCTGCGATTTCAAGGTATAAATAAATTAAATAAGGCACAGCACAAATCACTTGATAAAGTGACCAAACATTATTGTATCCATTATATTACTTTTCTTTCTATGATCTTAGGTGAAGGCCTTACCTGCCTCATCTGACCGCACGTCACTGGGCTACACAACACAATGAAGCCACCGGAGAGACTGACGCATGAATGCGTATTGAAAAAAAAAAAGTTCAGTTTGATAAGTGACTTGCTTGATATATATTGTTTATTTTTCTTAACAATTAAGATGGTATGTTATTATCCAGTGTAATCCAAGTATGAGTCTCTCCCTCGACTCTCCCAACAAAAACCCGCCCCCCCTCTCAGAAAATAGTTCCGACGTCCATGGGTTGGGGTGAATGTATACGTCAATGCCCAGACAGAAATGCAGTTGAAAAATTGTGGAACGATCTCTGTGTTATCGGCCTAATTTAAAGTTGTTTTGTGGTGAAGAACATGTACATGTTTACTGCAGGCTCACTTTCACAAACATTCTGGTAAAACACTGTCAGTCATGAGGAAAATACACACATGTTTTGGCAGTAATCTCTCACAGTGTAAGTTCTTTCTGTATCCGTGGAAACGTGAGATCACAAGTTATCTCCGAAACGTTACAGAGAAGTATAAAGAAACCCTATAAAGACAGTTCAGGACGTGTTCTTAAACACATTTGTCTGCGTACTCGGATATTTCCGTGGTGTGGGTGACGTCATCTTCGGAGGCCCCGCCTCTCCCGTCTCTGAACAAGAAGGAGATGCGGCCATTTTAAGTTTGTCAGTCGTCATTACTTCGCTACTGTAGGACGGACAACCGGACAATTTCACCAAATTTATCTGAAACTGTAGTGGAGCATTGCCTACTATGAACTGAAACGCTTCCTAAAAAGCAAAAGTAGATCCTAGTGAAGTGACGCACAAGCCTGAGCCGAGTGTCATTTTTGCTCCCTCAATGTAGGTGTGGGGATGGCTGTGGAAAGCATGACTGTCCATCCAAACTCCCCAACCTCCAACCACGAACACAACAGTCTCCTGACTGACGAAAGGTCGAGTAATTCTACACTCAATATCAAATATTTATTTCTCCTGCTCTTTACACAAAGCGGGGGTTATTTTTCTTTATTTTTGACAAAGGGATTAAATTCGCCTTTTCTGGAGAACAGGTACAGTGGTCACGACAGCGTCCAAAGGGTGTCCACAGGGACAAAACACGGACAAAACACGGACAAAACACGGACAAAACACGGACAAAACACGGACAAAACACGGACACTTCAGCCTGAGCTCAGTCAGACGCAAAACAAACGGTTGTTTTCATGAACCTGGACATAAAGGAAGCGCTGTAGACGACCCAACATGGCCTAACTACTTAGCTAAGCTAAGCTAAGCTACGTGTGGCGACCTCAATAACACGACTACCGAATGAAACGTGTGGCACATAACCAGCTGCTGTACTGTGTGTTGGTAATTACGATTAATGAGTTACTGGTGCGACTACGGAGAATGTAACGGCCGCTTCATTAACGGCTTCAGCAGAAGCAGGCCTGCGACCCCGCTAAGCTAACAGAGTTAGCCCCTCGGCTAAGCTAACTGAGTTAGCCACTCGGCTAAGCTAACAGGTTTAGCCACTCGGCTAAGCTAACAGGATTAACCACTCGGCTAAGCTAACAGGATTTTAGCCACTCGGCTATTAGCTAACAGGATTAGCCACTCGGCTAAGCTAACAGGTTTAGCCACTCGGCTAAGCTAACAGGATTAGCCCCTCGGCTAAGCTAACAGGATTAGCCACTCGGCTAAGCTAACAGGTTTAGCCACTCGGCTAAGCTAACAGGATTAGCCACTCGGCTAAGCTAACAGGTTTAGCCACTCGGCTAAGCTAACAGGATTAGCCACTCGGCTAACTGAAGTCATTCACTGACCTGCGTCTGCTTGCTAAGATAGCGTTAAATTCATTAAACCCCGTCCCGCTTTACAGTTCAATAGTTTACTTTTAGAACATAGCTTCTTAAATGTATGTTTTCCTCTTTCCACCATTACATTAATCTGGCATAGCCATAGTAGACACGTGTCTGTTGCAAACGAGTGGTCAGTGGGATAGATGTCCAGTGCAAATAAGTTATGCCTTATGTTCACTGTTAAACCAACACTACATTGTCCTACACAAAACGCATATTTATCTAACAGTAGGCGACATGTTCCCCTGCGTCCAGAGTAGTTCCCAAACCAGTCCCACACAAGTGTGTTTTATTCTGAAGCATGCCACAGTAAGTACCCCTCATGGTTCTGACATGACCGTTCTTTAGTGTGTGGCCCACTTCAGGTCATGGTTCTGACCGTTCTTTAGTGTGTGGCCCACTTCAGGTCATGGTTCTGACCGTTCTTTAGTGTGTGGCCCACTTCAGGTCATGGTTCTGACCGTTCTTTAGTGTGTGGCCCACTTCAGGTCATGGTTCTGACCGTTCTTTAGTGTGTGGCCCACTTCAGGTCATGGTTCTGACCGTTCTTTAGTGTGTGGCCCACTTCAGGTCATGGTTCTGACCGTTCTTTAGTGTGTGGCCCACTTCAGGTCATGGTTCTGACCGTTCTTTAGTGTGTGGCCCACTTCAGGTCATGGTTCTGACCGTTCTTTAGTGTGTGGCCCACTTCAGATCATGCACATCTGCACACACAGTGTGACTGAACACATGAACTGTCCCTGGAGTCATTAGTGTGGAAGTCAACCCCTGCTCACTATAACATGGGTTCTAAAGGGTTCTTAACCATTACTACTAGGGAGAAATGACCTTAAATTACGAAGCATCTGCATGTAATTGACCCACATTGATTAGTCATCTGATGTATTTTTACATGAATTATATCATGTTTATAGCGTTATTGAAATTACTAATTTGCTTCACACCTAGAGGTATGATTCTGCATTGCAAATAGGATAGGTCGTGTACTTACCTTTGTTCTCCCTCGGGTCAAAAAGATCCGCCACAGTGATAAAAAGTAGAAGAAAACACATCCTTGGAATAGTGTCTAAAAGGGTATAAATGACCCAGGGTCAGAATGGGACAAAATCATCAACATTCAGTATTTTATTCACTGTGGCAAGTTAATTTGACCTGAGGAGAGCACAAACGTTAAATTGTGAGCGAGGAAGTACTTAAATAGATATTTTGGTGTTCCTTTCAAGCACTAATATATTATATATGTGTGTGTATATATATATATAATTCTGCTCAGCACAAGTTATATGTGACAAGAGTTGTTTTGGCATCATCGTGAAACTTAATCTGATAAATGCCATTTGTTCCACTCCCATTGGTCATTAGCCTCTGTACAACTGTGTTATTTATTCAGCTCCTTCTCTAAGTTAACACTAATGTGATTAAGGTGAAATCACAATCTGCCAGATTATTGATTATTGGTAAAGCTTCATGGATTGGATATTGGTGAAGACGATGTCCTGAATGTTCAGTTCAATTCAATGTGTTCTTGTGCAGCCCTAAATCACACCAGTGGTTTTCTCAGAGGACTTAGTATCAGCCTTTAAGTCGTTATAACTTGTAACTGTCCAAAGTTTGGTATTTACTTGCAGGTAACACAAGAAAGGGTCCAGCTTTAGTAATAAAGGCAAAAGAAAAGCCGTGATTTCTGAAAAATAATTGGGCTGCTAGGAGTCAAATCTTTATTGATACGGTTGATTGAATATATTTTTTGACCCTTTCTGACCCTGACCGAGCTTAAACACTATAGAAATGAAAATAAGTGACAAGTGAACTTTTATCAAACTATTTTGTTTCTTTAGTTTTGTTTTGATCAGACACATTTTACAATCCCTTAAGTCGAGCGTAACTCAAAAAAAGAATTGATACATCTAATGAATAATAGAGCAACAGAACAAGTAAAAGATAAGATAGTTTATTGATCTCTGGTGGAGAAATGTTCAGGTCACATCATGGACAGAATCACTCAGGACTGTGCAAAAGAATGAAATGTGCAACATGTTCAATGCACGATTTATCATGCATTTATTATTTAATTACTGCTAATTAATCCTTAATTACTGCCCTAATCCAGAGTGAAGTTTGTTGGGATTTGTCTCCCATCCAGAGGAAGGCTTGTAAAGTGTCTGTGGTGTAGGCCCGAGGATGGAGAGCTGGAGGAGGGCGAGTTGGAAGACGATGGGGGAGAAGCGGCTGCAGAGGAGCCCGGGACAGCGGCTGCAGACGGGGCAGACGAGGCTCCGGCGGCATGCGCCGAGCCTGGTGGCGAGGGCAAGCGTCCACGCAGCAAAGAGCGCCATCACAGCGGCGAGTCCGGGGACGACCGCGCTCACCGCCGCAAGAGGAAGAGGAAGAAGGAGCGCGAGCGAGAGAAGAGGCGCACCAAGAAGAAACGCAAGTCCAAGCACAAAGTAAGAGCATGTCTCAGGTTTTACTGTTCTGCTAACCTGATCCTTTTATTAGTGAAACAGCAATCCTTTGTTTTTAGCTTTTCTCCAGATAAGAACAGTCTGTTTAGTCTTTTGATTATTTGATCATTAGAAAGGTCTGAAAGTCTTTATGCAGTCCTGAACTCAAAGCAGGAACTAAAGAGGTGTGTCCTCCATGGAGCTGACGGACCTGTTGGTCTCTGCACAGAGCTGTGTGTTCTGCCTCAGATCCATCACCTTCAGTTACTTTAACCAGTGTAATGTTTGTCTGCCTCAGCGTCACACCTCCTCCAACGATGAACATTCAGACTTCAGTGACGACTCGGACTACAGCCCCAGTGAGAAGAGGAAATACCGAGACTACAGCCCTCCGTACCCCTCGGTGAGGCCCACACAAAACACTCTGTGCTGAAAGAACGCCCACTAACATGAATGTGTCCGTAGTCTCATGGAGCATACAGCAGCTCCAAGAAGAGCTACATGAAGATGGACAAACAGGGTTACAAAGGCTTCGATGACTATGAGGAGGACAACTTTGAGGGAGGGGAAGAGGAGGAGATGCCTGAGGAAGACTATGATGACTTCACCAAGGAGCTGAACCAGTACAGAAAGGCCAAGGAGGGAGGGCGCCCCCCCAGAGGTATGTAGAATATACCCATTCTACTTTATATGCATTAGGGATAACATGTATGGAAGCTCAAACACATAGAGCCAGTGGTCCACAGGGCACCCCCAAAGGACCATTATTGAAGTGTTTCTGTTTCTTTTCTGTACAATGTGGTGATGAAAGAAAGTTGTTTTATGTTTAAATGAACGATTAATCAGAATATTATAATAATAATACAGAGTGGATATGATCGGTCTGTGCAGCTGTCACCACAGGTTCTGTGCTTTTAATGAGATGTTACATACCTCTGTGTGCAGGAGCCAGGGGCCGCATGAGGAGTCTCCGGGGTCGTGGAGGCATGAGGGGGGGCCGCAGGGGCAGGGGTGGGGGCCGAGGCCGCGGCGGCAGAGGGGGGAAGATGGGAGATGATGATGGAGACGGCTACGGAGAGGACATGGAGGTGAGACTCCTCAGCTCTGTTCTTTCATAAATGAGTGATTATCTCTGTTTAGTCGACAGAAGCATAGTGTATACAGTGCATTGATTAAAACACCAAACACGATGTAATTCTCCAGTTCGACCACTAGATGGATGTCTTTATCTCTTTATACATATTTATCCATGTATTGTTTGTAATGATGAGTTAACTCACGATTAATCACATTTTTAACATTCTTTTTCAAATCCAGTCCAAATGAAGTTAAATGATATTATCAAATGTAACGACACATTGTTATTCAGACCAAATGTTCTTAAATCTGTTTGATTTACAACCTTTACTTTGGACACAACCAACATGAGCTGTTAATGACAGGGGAAATGTACGTACCCCAGCTTTAATTTAGCAACTTTAGTTTAGTTTAGTTTAGTTTCAGGAGGAGACACCGACACTTCCGCAGTGTATTTGTGTGCACAGGTTATCCACAGGTTATGCACAGGTTATCCACAGGTTATCCACAGGTTATGCACAGGTTATCCACAGGTTATCCACAGGTTATGTACAGGTTATCCACAGGTTATGCACAGGTTATCCACAGGTTATCCACAGGTTATGCACAGGTTATCCACAGGTTATCCACAGGTTATCCACAGGTTATGCACAGGTTATGCACAGGTTATCCACAGGTTATCCACAAGTTATGCACAGGTTATCCACAGGTTATCCACAGGTTATCCACAGGTTATCCACAGGTTATGCACAGGTTATCCACAGGTTATCCACAGGTTATGCACAGGTTATCCACAGGTTATCCACAGGTTATCCACAGGTTATGCACAGGTTATCCACAGGTTATCCACAGGTTATCCACAGGTTATGCACAGGTTATCCACAGGTTATCCACAAGTTATGCACAGGTTATCCACAGGTTATCCACAGGTTATGCACAGGTTATCCACAAGTTATGCACAGGTTATCCACAGGTTATCCACAGGTTATGTACAGGTTATCCACAGGTTATCCACAGGTTATGTACAGGTTATGCACAGGTTATCCACAGGTTATGCACAGGTTATGAACAGGTTATGCACAGGTTATCCACAGGTTATCCACAGGTTATCCACAGGTTATCCACAGGTTATCCACAGGTTTATCCACAGGTTATGCACAGGTTATCCACAGGTTATGTACAGGTTATGCACAGGTTATGCACAGGTCATCCACAGGTTATGCACAGGTTATCCACAGGTTATCCACAGGTTATCCACAGGTTATCCACAGGTTATGCACAGGTTATCCACAGGTTATGTACAGGTTATGCACAGGTTATGCACAGGTCATCCACAGGTTATCCACAGGTTATCCACAGGTTATGTACAGGTCATCCACAGGTTATGCACAGGTTATGCACAGGTTATGTACAGGTTATCCACAGGTTATCCACAGGTTATGTACAGGTCATCCACAGGTTATGCACAGGTTATCCACAGGTTATGTACAGGTCATCCACAGGTTATGCACAGGTTATGCACAGGTTATGTACAGGTTATGCACAGGTTATCCACAGGTTATGTACAGGTCATCCACAGGTTATGCACAGGTTATCCACAGGTTATCCACAGGTTATCCACAGGTTATGTACAGGTTATGCACAGGTTATCCACAGGTTATCCACAGGTTATGTACAGGTCATCCACAGGTCATGCACAGGTTATCCACAGGTTATCCACAAGTTATGCACAGGTTATCCACAGGTTATCCACAAGTTATGCACAGGTTATCCACAGGTTATCCACAGGTTATCCACAGGTTATCCACAGGTTATGTACAGGTTATCCACAGGTTATCCACAGGTTATGTACAGGTTATCCACAGGTTATCCACAGAATATGCACAGGTTATCCCCAGGTTATCCCCAGGTTATGTACAGGTTATCCACAGGTTATCCACAGGTTATGTAAAGGTTATCCACAGGTTATCCACAGGTTATCCACAGGACATGCACAGGTTATGCACAGACACACACAACATGCAGAGAATGGTCTTATATGACCCAGTGGGGGCGCTTCCCGGCTCAAAAGTGGACAAAATGACGTGCGCTGACATTCTGCAGTACCACCCCGGGCCTGTGGGGGTGGACCCAGAAGAAGAATTAGCCAATGCTAACATATAGCATTAGCAGACCTCTCAAAAACGTCTTTACAGGATGGTCCAAAAGTTGTCTCTTGGCCCAAAGCTCTGTTCCACATGTGTGTCAATGCTGAGTGTTCTGGACCAGTCTAGTTTAGTGGCTGTGAATCTTTGAAGTCTCTCGTTCAAATGAATGGAGTTGCGCCAACTGACGCATGCGTTTTTTCACAATTTTCTTGTGGGCGGGACCACTTGCGGCCATTTTGGATGGCTCCAGTAGAGCACATTTTTTGGCCCATTAGTTAGAACGGCGCAGATAGGCCTGACTCTGTCCATTAATATTTACAGTCTATGATATGACCACATTACCGCGGCGCCGCTTACCGTGTTGTTGTTAGCGGCTCACAGCTAGCTAACAACAGCCAGAGCGGCCGCAGCGGGAGGCGGACTGCAGTTCATACCAAACACCACGGTCACACGTGTATTCTTTTAAAACTTGGATTCCCAGAAAATCGAGATCATACATTATTTTCAGGTCAAACATTTGTACAATGGGACCTTAAAGGAGTGCACACAATTCTTGACCTTTTCATTGACAAAGTATTTCCAACATTTGAGAGATTAAAACATAAATTAAAAATTGATAAGACTTTTTTAAATACTTACAAATACGTAATTTTACTAATGCGACATTTCCCTCTTTTCCCAATCTACCTGAAGTGGATCCTATGGATAATGTATTAGTGAACAACCCGCTCAAGAAAGGATCTATTTCTAGAATATATAATAATCTTTCACAGATGGACTACACTTGACCATATAGACTTTGGTATAAACATTACAGACGAGCAGTGAAGCTCCTCAGTTTGTATCAGACACGTATTCTTTGTATTCTTTCTTTCTCAAAGTATTCTTTGAGAAAGAAAGAACAAATATTTTACTCAATTTAGCAGCTTTTTATTGATTATTATAATAAGTAAGTTTGGATGGACCTCTTCATTCTTAATTTGATTTGATATATTTTTTCTTAGTACTTCGAATGTGTGCAGGGTTTTTTATGTTTTATTTTTTTAACCTTTGTTTTGTTTACTTTTGTTTTGTGTTGCTGATTACATTTATGTGATATAGATTTTATACCTGTAAATGATAATAAAAATAACTGAAAATAAAAAAACACTTGGATTCCCAGAGACCTGCTCTGTTCTCTCACTCATGTGTCTGCAGCATTCTGAGTGTTATTATGGATCTGTTCTCTCACTCATGTGTCTGCAGCATTCTGAGTGTTATTATGGATCTGTTCTCTCACTCATGTGTCTGCAGCATTCTGAGTGTTATTATGGATCTGTTCTCTCACTCATGTGTCTGCAGCATTCTGAGTGTTATTATGGATCTGTTCTCTCACTCATGTGTCTGCAGCATTCTGAGTGTTATTATGGATCTGTTCTCTCACAATAATTTTGACAGCCCTATTGACTAATGATTTATTGTGTGTTGTCTCCAGTTTGCGGAGGAGGACTACGACCACGATGATGACTACGATGAGTTTTCCAGTCAGTACAAGAAGCACAAAGACCGAGGCCGCGGTCGGTTCTCACTCATTCACTTTGAAATCATTTGGATATACTACATATTACTCAAGTGTGTGCGTGTTCTGCAGGGGGTAAAGGCGGGCGTATGCGGGGCAGAGGGCGTGGCATGCGGGGGATGATGAGGGGGAGAGGGCGTGGTCGTGGGCGAGGACGCGGCGACCAGGGCTATGAGGACGACCACGGAGGAGACATGGACAACGGGGTGAGACTTCAGAAACCTCTCACACCTCTCACCTCTCTCACCTCTCACACCTCTCACACCTCTCTCACCTCTCACACCTCTCACACCTCTCTCACCTCTCACACCTCTCACACCTCTCACACCTCTCTCACCTCTCTCACCTCTCTCACCTCTCACACCTCTCTCACACCTCACCTCTCTCACCTCTCACACCTCTCTCACCTCTCACACCTCTCACACCTCTCACACCTCTCTCACCTCTCTCACCTCTCACACCTCACCTCTCTCACCTCTCTCACCTCTCACACCTCTCTCACCTCTCTCACCTCTCACACCTCTCTCACCTCTCTCACCTCTCACACCTCTCACACCTCTCACACCTCTCACACCTCTCTCACCTCTCTCACCTCTCTCACCTCTCTCACCTCTCACACCTCTCTCACCTCTCTCACACCTCACCTCTCTCACCTCTCACACCTCTCTCACCTCTCTCACCTCTCTCACCTCTCACACCTCTCTCACTCTCACCTCTCACACCTCACACCTCTCACACCTCTCACCTCTCTCACCTCTCACACCTCTCACACCTCTCTCACCTCACCTCTCACCTCTCACACCTCTCACACCTCTCTCACCTCTCACACCTCTCACACCTCTCTCACACCTCTCTCACCTCTCTCACCTCTCTCACCTCTCTCACCTCTCACACCTCTCTCACCTCTCTCACCTCTCACACCTCTCTCACCTCTCTCACCTCACCTCTCTCACCTCTCTCACCTCTCACACCCTCTCTCACCTCTCACACCTCTCACACCTCTCTCACCTCTCACCTCTCACCTCTCTCACCTCTCACACCTCTCACACCTCTCTCACCTCTCTCACCTCTCTCACCTCTCTCACCTCTCACACCTCTCACACCTCTCACTACCTCTCTCACCTCTCACACCTCTCACACCTCTCTCACCTCTCTCACCTCTCTCACCTCTCACACCTCTCACACACCTCTCTCACCTCTCTCACCTCTCTCACCTCTCTCACCTCTCTCACCTCTCTCACCTCTCTCACCTCTCTCACCTCTCTCACCTCTCTCACCTCTCTCACCTCATCTCACCTCTCACCTCACACCTCTCACACCTCTCTCACCTCTCACAACCCTCTCACACCTCTCACACCTCTCTCACCTCTCACACCCTCTCTCACCTCTCTCACCTCTCTCACCTCTCTCACCTCTCTCACCTCTCACCTCTCACACCTCTCTCTCTCTCTCACCTCTCTCACCTCTCTCACACCTCTCACACCTCTCTCACTCTCTTACACCTCTCTCACTCTCACCTCTCACACCTCTCTCACTCTCACACCTCTCTCACCTCTCACACCTCTCACACTCTCTCACCTCTCACACCTCTCACTCTCACCTCTCTCACCTCTCTCACACTCTCTCACCTCTCTCAACACCTCATCTCACCTCACACCTCTCTCACCTCTCTCACCTCTCTCTCACCCTCACACCTCTCACACCTCTCTACACCTCTCACACCTCTCTCCACCTCTCACACCTCTCTCACCTCTCTCACCTCTCACACCTCTCACCTCACCTCACCTCTCTCACACCTCTCACCTCTCTCACCTCTCTCACACCTCACCTCTCACCTCTCTCACTCTCACCTCTCACCTCTCTCACCTCTCACACCCTCTCTCACCTCTCACACCTCACCTCTTCACCTCTCACACCTCACCTCTCTCTCTCACTCTCACACCTCTCTCACCTCTCACACCTCTCTCACCTCTCACACCTCTCACAACTCTCTCACCTCTCACACCTCTCTCACCTCTCTCACCTCTCTCACCTCTCACACCTCTCTCACCTCTCTCACCTCTCTCACCTCTCACACCTCTCACTCACTCTCTCTCACCTCTCTCACACTCTCTCACCTCTCACACCTCTCTCACCACTCTCACCTCTCACACCTCTCTCACTCTCACCTCACCTCTCACCTCTCACACTCTCTCACCTCTCACACCTCTCTCACCTCTCACCTCTCACACCTCTCTCACCTCTCACACCTCTCTCACCTCTCACACCTCTCTCACCTCTCACCCTCACACCTCTCACCTCTCTCCTCTCTCACACCTCTCTCACCTCTCACACCTCTCACACCTCTCACACCTCTCTCACCTCTCACACCTCTCTCACCTCTCTCACCTCTCACACCTCTCTCACCTCTCACACCTCTCACACCTCTCTCACCTCTCTCACACCTCTCACACCTCCTCACCTCTCTCACACCTCTCACACCTCACTCTCTCACCTCTCTCACCTCTCACACCTCTCTCACCTCTCACACCTCTCTCACCTCTCACACCTCTCTCACCTCACCTCTCACACCTCTCTCACCTCTCACACCTCTCACACCTCTCACCTCACCTCTCTCACCTCTCTCACCTCTCTCACATCTCACACCTCTCACACACCTCTCTCACCTCTCACACCTCTCACCTCTCACACCTCTCACACCTCTCTCACCTCTCACACCTCTCACCTCTCTCACCTCACCTCTCTCACTCTCTCACCTCTCTCATCTCTCACACCTCTCTCACCTCTCTCACCTCTCTCACCTCTCTCACCTCTCTCACCTCTCTCACCTCTCACACCTCTCACACCTCTCTCACCTCTCTCACCTCTCTCACCTCTCACACCTCTCTCACCTCTCACACCTCTCACACCTCTCACACCTCTCACCTCTCTCACCTCTCACACCTCTCTCACCTCTCTCACCTCTCACACCTCTCTCACCTCTCACACCTCTCACACCTCTCTCACCTCTCACACCTCACCTCTCTCACCTCTCTCACCTCTCTCACCTCTCTCACCTCTCACACCTCTCTCACCTCTCTCACCTCTCTCACCTCAGCTCTCACACCTCTCTCACCTCTCACACCTCTCACACCTCTCACCTCACCTCTCTCACCTCTCTCACCTCTCTCACATCTCACACCTCTCACACCTCTCTCACCTCTCACACCTCTCTCACCTCTCACACCTCTCTCACCTCACCTCTTACACCTCTCACACCTCACCTCTTACACCTCTCACACCTCACCTCTCACACCTCACCTCTCACCTCTCACACCTCTCTCACCTCTCACACCTCTCACCTCACCTCTCTCACCTCTCTCACCTCTCTCACATCTCACACCTCTCACACCTCTCACACCTCTCTCACCTCTCACACCTCTCACACCTCTCTCACCTCTCACACCTCTCTCACCTCACCTCTCACACCTCTCTCACCTCTCACACCTCTCACCTCTCACACCTCTCTCACCTCTCACACCTCTCTCACCTCACCTCTCACACCTCTCTCACCTCACCTCTCTCACCTCTCTCACCTCTCTCACCTCTCACACCTCTCACACCTCTCTCACCTCACCTCTCACACCTCTCACCTCACCTCTTACACCTCTCACACCTCACCTCTCACACCTCTCACACCTCACCTCTCACACCTCACCTCTCTCACCTCTCACACCTCACCTCTCTCACCTCACCTCTCTCACCTCACCTCTCTCATCTCTCACACCTCTCTCATCTCTCACACCTCTCTCACACCTCTCTCACCTCTCACACCTCTCTCACCTCTCACACCTCTCACCTCACCTCTCACACCTCTCTCACCTCTCTCACCTCTCACACCTCTCTCACCTCTCACACCTCACCTCTCTCACCTCACCTCTCACACCTCACCTCTCACACCTCTCACACCTCACCTCTCACACCTCTCACACCTCTCACACCTCACCTCTCACACCTCTCACACCTCTCTCACCTCTCTCACCTCTCACACCTCTCTCACCTCTCTCACCTCTCACACCTCTCTCACCTCTCACACCTCTCACACCTCTCTCACCTCTTACAGCTCACACCTCTCACACCTCTCTCACCTCTTCACACCTCTCACACCTCTCACCTCTCACCTCTCTCACCTCTCTCACCTCTCACACCTCTCACACCTCTCTCACACCTCTCTCACCTCTCACACCTCTCACACCTCTCTCACTCTCACCTCTCACACACCTCTCTCACCTCTCTCACACCTCTCACACGCTCTCACCCTCTCACACCTCTCTCACCTCTCTCACCTCTCACACCCCATCCCCAACCCCCCACAACCCACACACCCCACACACCCCACACACCCACACCCCCCACACACCACACCCCCCCACACACCCCAAAACCCCACACCCCCCCACACACCCCCACAACCCTCACCCCCACACCCCCCAACCCCCCACCACACCCAACCCCACCCCCCCTACCCCCACACCCCCCACACACCCCACCCCACACCCCAACCCCCCCCTCCACCCCCAACCCCCCCACACACCCCACGACACCCCACACCCGCCGATTGTTCACCTCTTACAGCTCACACCTCTCACACCTCTCACACCTCTCTCACCTCTCTCACCTCACCTCTCACACCTCTCTCACCTCTCTCACCTCTCACACCTCTCACACCTCTCACACCTCTCTCACCTCTCACCTCTCTCACCTCTCTCACCTCTCACACCTCTCTCACCTCACCTCTCTCACCTCTCTCACCTCTCTCACCTCTCACACCTCTCTCACCTCTCTCACCTCTCACACCTCTCACACCTCTCACACATCTCTCACATCTCTCACATCTCACACCTCTCTCACCTCACCTCTCTCACCTCTCACACCTCTCTCACCTCTCACACCTCTCTCACCTCACCTCTCACACCTCTCTCACCTCACCTCTTACACCTCTCACACCTCACCTCTCACACCTCTCACACCTCACCTCTCTCACCTCTCACACCTCACCTCTCTCACACCTCTCTCACCTCACCTCTCACCACTCTCACCTCACCTCTTACACCTCTCACACCTCACCTCTCACACCTCACCTCTCTCACCTCTCTCAGCTCTCACACCTCACCTCTCACACCTCACCTCTCTCACCTCTCTCACCTCTCACACCTCTCACACCTCACCTCTCTCACCTCACACCTCACCTCTCTCACCTCTCACACCTCTCTCACCTCACCTCTCACACCTCTCACCACACCTCTCTCACCTCTCTCACCTCTCTCACCTCTCACCTCTCTCACCTCTCTCACCTCTCACCTCTCTCACCTCTCTCACCTCTCTCACCTCTCTCACCTCTCACACCTCTCACACCTCTCTCACCTCTCACACCTCACCTCTCTCACCTCTCTCACCTCTCACACCTCTCACACCTCTCTCACCTCTCTCACCTCTCTCACCTCTCTCACCTCTCACACCTCTCACACCTCTCTCACCTCTCACACCTCACCTCTCTCACCTCTCTCACCTCTCACACCTCTCTCACCTCTCACACCTCTCTCACCTCTCACACCTCTCTCACCTCACCTCTCACACCTCTCTCACCTCACCTCTTACACCTCTCACACCTCACCTCTTACACCTCTCACACCTCACCTCTCACACCTCACCTCTCACCTCTCACACCTCTCTCACCTCTCACACCTCTCACCTCACCTCTCTCACCTCTCTCACCTCTCTCACATCTCACACCTCTCTCACCTCACCTCTTACACCTCTCACACCTCACTTCTTACACCTCTCACACCTCACCTCTCACACCTCTCACCACACCTCTCTCACCTCTCTCACCTCTCTCACCTCTCACCTCTCTCACCTCTCACACCTCTCTCACCTCTCACACCTCACCTCTCTCACCTCTCACACCTCTCACACCTCTCTCACCTCTCACACCTCTCTCACCTCTCTCACCTCTCTCACCTCTCACACCTCTCACACCTCTCACACCTCTCACACCTCTCTCACCTCTCTCACCTCTCACACCTACATGCAACTGGGAAAACTCACAAACACCCAGTTTATTTGTACGATTATTAAATCTAACACAAGAGAAGAGAATATAACGTCCTGCTCCGGTCCCACACTGCCCTCTACTGTCCAGCTCCAGTAAGACCCAGAAAGTGCTTGGGATTATATGAACAATTAAATGATTTAGAATAGTGTTTTTTTTTTCTTGCACGTTGCAGAAGTCTTTAGTAGTTTTAAGGTTAAACGACAAGTCTTCTGGTTGATCAGACGAGGCTGAATACTGCTGTGTGCACACAGCTAAGGTCAGTTTATTTGTGTAGCAAAGTTCATGCACAAGGCAACTCAAAGTGCTGAAAACAAGGTGCTAAAATAAAACAATAATCACAGACTACAGTACAAGAGTGAAGATACAATCCATCAGTTGTTGCAGCAAAACCGAACAGGATTTGCACATTGTCAGAGAAGAAGCAGCTGCTCATACAGTGACATGTGGCGGGCCCTGCACTGGTCCAGACTGTGTTCTGCTCAGGGCTCTGCATCTGAACATCTGTGACCACAGAGAAGGACCTGTCTCTGGTCTCTGTGTGAACCTCTCCTCTGTGTTTCAGGACGGTCCTGCAGACGGCGGCAGGAGAGGCCACAGTGACAAACCCACAGACAAGAAGGGGAAGGCCATCTGCAAGTACTACATGGAGGGCAGATGCACATGGGTCAGTCTTCTTCGCTTCTTTATCTATGACTTTATGACTTTATCTATGATCGTTCAGACCAAACAGAGCGACTCTCGTCTCATCGTCCCTTGAGGCAAAGTGACAACAGGTTTAGAAGAATTCATAATTATAATGTCCTTGTTAGGTTTTCGTAAGCTCTAAGTCCTTGTTAGCATTTATAATACAGGTATAATGTAGCACCTTAGGCACAGGATTTACAATATATAACACTTGTCAACAGTCATTTACAGTCTTAATGACTGCACACTTGATTATCTTGGAGGTCTTTAGGTTGAGCTTAAATTGTCCCAGTGATCTCCACCCCCTCACAGACAGGGGAGGAGCTCCAGGCCCCTGCTGAAGCAGTTCTGTCTCCTCCACAACATAACACCCCCTCTCTCCACAGCATGACACTGCTCCCTCTCTCCACAGCATGACACTGCCCCCTCTCTCCACAGCATGACACTGCCCCCTCTCTCCACAGCATGACACTGCTCCCTCTCTCCACAGCATGACACTGCCCCCTCTCTCCACAGCATGACACTGCCCCCTCTCTCCACAGCATGACACTACCCCCTCTCTCCACAGCATGACACTGCCCCCTCTCTCCACAGCATGACACTGCCCCCTCTCTCCACAGCATGACACTACCCCCTCTCTCCACAGCATGACACTGCCCCCTCTCTCCACAGCATGACACTGCCCTTCTCTCTCCACAGCTTGACACTGCCCTTCTCTCTCCACAGCATGACACTGCCCTTCTCTCTCCACAGCATGACACTGCCTCCTCTCTCCACAGCATGACACTGCCCCCTCTCTCCACAGCATGACACTGGCCTTCTCTCTCCACAGCTTGACACTGGCCTTCTCTCTCCACAGCTTGACTCTGGCCTTCTCTCTCCACAGCATGACACTGCCCCCTCTCTCCACAGCATGACACTGCCCCCTCTCTCCACAGCTTGACACTGGCCTTCTCTCTCCACAGCTTGACTTTGGCCTTCTCTCTCCACAGCATGACACTGCCCCCTCTCTCCACAGCATGACACTGCCCCCTCTCTCCACAGCATGACACTGCCTCCTCTCTCCACAGCATGACACTGCCCCCTCTCTCCACAGCATGACACTGCCCCCTCTCTCCACAGCATGACACTGCCCTTCTTTCTCCACAGCATGACACTGCCCTTCTCTCTCCACAGTATGACACTGCCTCCTCTCTCCACAGCATGACACTGCCCCCTCTCTCCACAGCATGACACTGCCCCCTCTCTCCACAGCATGACACTGCCCCCCTCTCTCCACAGCATGACACTGCCTCCTCTCTCCACAGCATGACACTGCCCCCTCTCTCCACAGCATGACACTGCCCTTCTCTCTCCACAGCTTGACACTGGCCTTCTCTCTCCACAGCTTGACTCTGGCCTTCTCTCTCCACAGCATGACACTGCCCCCTCTCTCCACAGCATGACACCGCCCCCTCTCTCCACAGCATGACACTGCCCCCTCTCTCCACAGCATGACACTGCCCTTCTCTCTCCACAGCTTGACACTGGCCTTCTCTCTCCACAGCTTGACTCTGGCCTTCTCTCTCCACAGCATGACACTGCCCCCTCTCTCCACAGCATGACACTGCCCCCTCTCTCCACAGCATGACACTGCCCTTCTCTCTCCACAGCATGACACTGCCCTTCTCTCTCCACAGCATGATACTGCCCCCCCACACGCAAAATGAGAGAGACACAGAGAAGCAGTTCTGTCTCTTCTAGAGGTGGCTCTGGTGGATCTGAGAACAATTTATTTGAACTGTTTTTTAAATGTACGTTTGTCAACCTGGTCCTTGAGTGTCAAGAAAGGCACCTACGAAACAAAATGAATTATTATGTATTATAGTTCCTCTGGTCTCATACCTGTGGACTTCATCTTCTGTCATGCTCCTTGGAGAAAATGTTGAGACCTCTTTAAAGAACTTACACCAATCATGAAACTTAGAAACACAAGAAGAAACCAAATACAACTCATATAAAGCTGATTGTTTCTGTGTGTAGACATTATTATTAGATTTAGATCAGACCGAACTAAAGCCATTGTGTCTCAGACTGTGGCCCTCTGTTTTACTAACACATGAGCCTTTGCATCATCAAAGCCTCTGTGTCATCTCACCATGCAGTACCGCAGAACCTCCTCTACACCTCCTTCTGACTATATGTATCTATGACTCTAGGACACACTCATTCAGCCAACTCCAGCTCATTCAAAGCTCAGAACTGTCTGAATCAAAAGTTACTGAACTAACCCTCTCACTAGAAAGTCTGGACCCCTGGTGACGTCTGAACCTGCAGTGTGTGTGTAACTGCAGTGTGTTCTTTTGGCCACAGGGGGAGCACTGTAACTTCAGTCATGATATGGAGTTACCGAAGAAGAAGGAGCTGTGCAAGTTCTACATCACAGGGTTCTGTGCCCGCGCCGACCACTGCCCCTACATGCATGATATCCTTCACACGTTACATGCTACATGTTACATATTACATGCACAATATCCTTCACACGTTACATGCTACATGTTACATGCACGATATCCTTCACACGTTACATGCTACTCTGTGTCAGTCCTCAGTCAGTCCTCAGTCAGTCCTCAGTCAGTCCTCAGTCAGTCCTCTGTCAGTCCTCTGTCAGTCCTCTGTCAGTCCTCTGTCAGTCCTCTGTCAGTCCTCTGTCAGTCCTCTGTCAGTCCTCTGTCAGTCCTCAGTCAGTCCTCAGTCAGTCCTCTGTCAGTCCTCTGTCAGTCCTCTGTCAGTCCTCTGTCAGTCCTCTGTCAGTCCTCTGTCAGTCCTCTGTCAGTCCTCAGTCAGTCCTCAGTCAGTCCTCAGTCAGTCCTCAGTCAGTCCTCAGTCAGTCCTCTGTCAGTCCTCAGTCAGTCCTCTCTCAGTCCTCTCTCAGTCCTCTGTCAGTCCTCTGTCAGTCCTCTGTCAGTCCTCTGTCAGTCCTCAGTCAGTCCTCAGTCAGTCCTCAGTCAGTCCTCTGTCAGTCCTCTGTCAGTCCTCTGTCAGTCCTCTGTCAGTCCTCAGTCAGTCCTCAGTCAGTCCTCAGTCAGTCCTCAGTCAGTCCTCAGTCAGTCCTCAGTCAGTCCTCTGTCAGTCCTCTCTCAGTCCTCTGTCAGTCCTCTGTCAGTCCTCTGTCAGTCCTCTGTCAGTCCTCTGTCAGTCCTCTGTCAGTCCTCAGTCAGTCCTCAGTCAGTCCTCAGTCAGTCCTCAGTCAGTCCTCAGTCAGTCCTCAGTCAGTCCTCTGTCAGTCCTCTGTCAGTCCTCTGTCAGTCCTCTGTCAGTCCTCAGTCAGTCCTCTGTCAGTCCTCTGTCAGTCCTCTGTCAGTCCTCTGTCAGTCCTCAGTCAGTCCTCTCTCAGTCCTCTCTGTCCTCTCTCAGTCCTCTGTCAGTCCTCTGTCAGTCCTCTCTCAGTCCTCTGTCAGTCCTCAGTCAGTCCTCTCTCAGTCCTCTGTCAGTCCTCTCTGTCCTCTCTCAGTCCTCTGTCAGTCCTCTGTCAGTCCTCTCTCAGTCCTCTGTCAGTCCTCTCTGTCCTCTCTCAGTCCTCTCTCAGTCCTCTCTCAGTCCTCTGTCAGTCCTCTGTCAGTCCTCTCTCAGTCCTCTGTCAGTCCTCTGTCAGTCCTCTGTCAGTCCTCTGTTGGTCCTTAACAGTAACACGTGAGTATCCGTGTAAACTCTTCCACACTTCAGGGAACTGTGTGAACGGAGACGAGTGCATGTTCTCCCACGACAAGCTCAACGACGACACACAAGAGATGCTCAACAAGGTACTGTACCTTTGCTACCCACTCTAGGTACTCACAGGTACCACCTGTACCTTTACTGCTGTTGTACTCACTCACAGATACATGGCTGTAGAGAGTCTTATCACTCACAGGTACATGGCTGTAGAGAGTTATCACTCACAGGTACATGGCTGTAGAGAGTTATCACTCACAGGTACATGGCTGTAGAGAGTCTTATCACTCACAGGTACATGGCTGTAGAGAGTCTTATCACTCACAGGTACATGGCTGTAGAGAGTCTTATCACTCACAGGTACATGGCTGTAGAGAGTCTTATCACTCACAGGTACATGGCTGTAGAGAGTTATCACTCACAGGTACATGGCTGTAGAGAGTTATCACTCACAGGTACATGGCTGTAGAGAGTCTTATCACTCACAGGTACATGGCTGTAGAGAGTCTTATCACTCACAGGTACATGGCTGTAGAGAGTCTTATCACTCACAGGTACATGGCTGTAGAGAGTTATCACTCACAGGTACATGGCTGTAGAGAGTCTTATCACTCACAGGTACATGGCTGTAGAGAGTTATCACTCACAGGTACATACTGTAGCTGTAGAGAGTCTTATCACTCACAGGTACATGGCTGTAGAGTCTTATCACTCACAGGTACATGGCTGTAGCACAGGTACATGGCTGTAAAGTGTACCCATGCTACTGATTTTGGGTCTAGTTCCTGCAGCTGTTGCATCATGTACCTGTGCTCCTCAGATGCTGGCAGAGGATGCTGAGGCTGGAGCAGAGGATGAGAAGGAGGTGGAGGAGTTGAAGAAACAGGGCATTAACCCTCTCCCTAAGCCCCCCCCTGGAGTGGGGCTGCTCCCCACCCCCCCGAGGCTCCTCCCTGCAGAGGCCTGTCCCAGCCCTGACTTCACAGAGGCAGAGTCGGGCCCCAACCAGGGCCCTCTGGTGCCCCCTGTCAACCCTCCTACAGCTCACTCTGAAGCAGCTCTATATCCAGGCTTGAACCCTAATGATGCAGACCAGTCCCCCCCCATGGGGCCCCCACATCCGCAGGGAGGGGAGGGGGCCGCAGGAAAGAAGATCCCGTCTTTATTTGAGATTAAAGTGCAGCCCACAGGGCAGCTGGCTCACAAGCTCGCAGTGCGGTGAGTCCTGGCTTGGTATGGATCAGAACTGCTGTAGAAAGTGTTCTCATGTGTGTTGGTCTGTTCCAGGGGCCAGACCCCGGCCGGAGCACAGGGGCCTCCTGCAGCGGGCCCCCAGGGGCCCCCTGGGGCTCCTCCCATACACTTCCCCACACCTGCAGGGGTGTTTCCTGCTGACATGAACGAGTTTGGCTCAAGCGCGCCACCTGGAGGATATCCAGGGGATCATGGGTCTGATCCTGGACCTGGGAACTATATGAATAATTACTTCAGTCAGGACGGGGGTCCGGCAGAAGGCCTGTCTGAAGGTGAGTGTTTACCCCACCCCGTCCCTGTGCTGTGTCACTGTCCCTGTGCTGTGTCCCTGTGCTCTAACACCACCTGTCCTCCACAGGAGACGGTTATCAGGGGTTCTCTGCAGACGACAGAGGGCCTTTGGCGCCCCCCAGTGGCTCTGAAGGCCCCAGTAGTTGTCAGGGGGGGGTCTCTGTGCCAGACTTCCTGCCCCCCGCTCAGAGAGTGCTCTTCATGAGGATCCAGCAGAAGCAGCAGGAGGAGGCGGCTCGCCGTCTGGCAGAGGGCGAGCTGAAGAAGACCAGAGAGACAGAGGGTGAGGCCCCTCACACACTGCCACATATCTAACAGACAACTATTTAAAGTATGTTTCCAATATGTGGAGCTATAATGCCCTGTGCTCTGTCCCTGTGCTCTGTCCCTGTGCTCAGGAGACTCTGGGAACTGGTACTCCAGTGAAGAGGAGGACGGCGGCAGCAGCGTGACCTCCATCCTGAAGACCCTCCGGCAGCAGAGCCAGGCCCCCGCCAAGACAGAGCCCCCTCCCAACGACCCGCGCCTGCTGAAGCCCTCTGCCCCCCCAGCTCGCCCTATGGACCCTCGGCTGGCCCGGGACCCTCGGCTGGCCCGTGCTGCGGAGCCTGCGCCCTCAGACGCTGCTCCCCCTGGTCCTCCTGCAGACCCCCGGCTGGCCCGCTTCACCCCCTCTCAGCAGCCCCTCCCGCCTAAGCCCGAGCCCCCCCTGGTGTACAAGCCCCCGCCCCTGACCGTCCCGGTGGAGGAGGAGGAGCCGGAGCGTGTGCTGAGGGAGAAGCCCGTGCCCATCCCCCTGGAGCCTCTGCTGGCCCTGCAGCTGCGGGACCCCCGGCAGCAGCTGCAGCAGTTCAGCCACATCAAAAAGGACACGGTGCTGCCTCTGCCGGCCTTCTCTGCCGCCGTCACCTGGTCCCCCCAGGACCTGCTGCCTCTGCCCCTCCCCAAACAGGACCTGCCCATGCCCCCAGGCATTCCCCTGGTCCCGGCCTCAGACCCACGTCTGTCCCGCCCTGGGCCCCCTGCCCCAGAGCCAGCCTCAGCCCCCCCTGTCCCTGACCTGCAGCTGCTCTCCCGTATCCTCAAGACCGTGACCTCCAGCCCCGCCCCCAGCCCCCCCCCTGTGGACAAGCCCGCCGACCCGCGGTCTGACCCGCGTTCTGATCCTCGTTCTGACCCCAGGTCCCGGAAAGGCCCCGCGGACCCCCGGCTGCAGCCCCAGAAGTCGGTCTTAAAGCAGGTCTTGGACTCGGCCTCGGGATCCTCCCTCTCAGGCTCTCCCCCCAGCACAGCTCCCTACGACCCCCGCCTGCTGTCCTCAGGGGCCCCAGGCAGAGGGGGCACCTGTGTAGGCAGCATCAGTCTGTACGACCCCCGCACTCACCGAGCCGACAGCCCTGGGGGCGGGGCCTCCCCCTCAGAGCCTCAGTCGGACCCTCGGGCCAAGTCTAAAGAGCCCCTGTTCATCCGTAAGTCTGCGTTAGAGCCGCCTGAGCCTGAGCCGACCCCTGAGCCCGGGACCGACCGCTACAACAGCTACAACAGGCCCCGCCCCAAACCTACCCCCTCCCCCAACAACACCGCCCAGGGCCCCAATGCGGGGGCCGCGGGGGCCCCAGGCTCCGGAGCAGACACTGGTGTGCTGCCCTCTCTGTTCGGTCTGAAACAGAGTAAGGCGGGGGCAGAGGGGGGCAGCCCGGTGCCCACGGAGCAAACCCTCTCAGAACAGGACAATGCTTCTCTCAAAGACGTTTTTAAAGGCTTCGACCCCACGGCCTCCCCCTTCTGCCAGTGACCCCCCCCCCCCCCCCCCCCACCGCAGAGTGCCCACCTAGACTGCAGACTGACCCCCCCACAGCAGACAGGCCCCATGGATTCTAACATCTGTATTTATGCTTGTAGTAAACTGTCTGAGGGGTTGTTGATTTCCTGTTGCAGCCTCAGACCTGGGGGCCCTCAGACTTGGGGGCCCTCAGACCTGGGGGCCCTCAGACCTGGGGACCCTCAGACTCGTCCTGTTGTGGTTTTAACCTGTCTGTGGGATCCTGGACAAATGTGTTGAAGTCAAAAAGCTTAATTTATTTTTATACTTGTGTCGTACATTTTATGAAGCGTGAGTGAAGCGTGTTCCTGGTGAATGGAGCAGACAAAATGGCTGCCGTGTGACTGAGCAGACAAAATGGCTGCCGTGTGACTGAGAGAGTGTGTTTAATAAAGGTGGACCGTGTTCTGGAGTCTCCTACCAACGCTCTCATTCCGTTCTTTATTTCTATGGAGCTCAGTGGCGCCCCCTGTGTCTGTGTCCAGCAACAGCAGATATAGGTCACAGGTACAGGCTCTAGCACAGGTACAGGTCACAGGTACAGGGCCTCACAGATGTGATTGAAACAGGAAGCCCATCCACCCTGAGCTTTCAAACACAAGAAACATAGCTCTATCCTCTAACATCACAAACACATTCATCCTATTTATTTATATAGCGCCCGACAGTGGCCTCCCTGAGCACAGCGGGCCTCCCTGAGCACAGCGGGCCTCGCTCGCGTTGGTCCATGAATGTAAACAATAAAATATGACAAATCTGCGCAAGACTGAAGGTGGTTTCCTGACGCTCATGTTCAGCAGCCGACTGTAGCCGCTCGTGTTTAGCAGCCGACTGTAGCCGCTCGTGTTTAGCAGCCGACTGTAGACGCTCATGTTCAGCAGCCGACTGTAGACGCTCGTGTTCAGCAGCCGACTGTAGCCGCTCAGGTTTTGCAGCCGACTGTAGACGCTCATGTTCAGCAGCCGACTGTAGCCGCTCGTGTTCAGCAGCCGACTGTAGACGCTCGTGTTCAGCAGCCGACTGTAGACGCTCGTGTTCAGCAGCCGACTGTAGACGCTCATGTTCAGCAGCCGACTGTAGACGCTCATGTTAAGCAGCCAACTGTAGCCGCTCATGTTTAGCAGCCGACTGTAGCCGCTCATGTTCAGCAGCCGACTGTAGCCGCTCGTGTTCAGCAGCCGACTGTAGACGCTCATGTTTAGCAGCCGACTGTAGACGCTCATGTTCAGCAGCCGACTGTAGACGCTCATGTTCAGCAGCCGACTGTAGCCGCTCGTGTTCAGCAGCCGACTGTAGACGCTCATGTTTAGCAGCCGACTGTAGCCGCTCATGTTCAGCAGCCGACTGTAGACGCTCATGTTCAGCAGCCGACTGTAGACGCTCATGTTCAGCAGCCGACTGTAGCCGCTCATGTTTAGCAGCCGACTGTAGCCGCTCATGTTTAGCAGCCGACTGTAGCCGCTCATGTTTAGCAGCCGACTGTAGACGCTCATGTTTAGCAGCCGACTGTAGACGCTCATGTTCAGCAGCCGACTGTAGCCGCTCGTGTTCAGCAGCCGACTGTAGCTGCTCGTGTTCAGCAGCCGCTCGTGTTTAGCAGCCGACTGTAGCCGCTCGTGTTTAGCAGCCAACTGTAGCCGCTCGTGTTCAGCAGCCGACTGTAGCCGCTCATGTTTAGCAGCCGACTGTAGCCGCTCATGTTCAGCAGCCGACTGTAGCCGCTCGTGTTTAGCAGCCGACTGTAGCCGCTCGTGTTTAGCAACCGACTGTAGCCGCTCGTGTTTAGCAGCCGACTGTAGACGCTCGTGTTCAGCAGCCGACTGTAGACGCTCATGTTCAGCAGCCGACTGTAGCCGCTCGTGTTTAGCAACCGACTGTAGCCGCTCGTGTTTAGCAGCCGACTGTAGACGCTCATGTTCAACAGCCGACTGTAGCCGCTCGTGTTTAGCAGCCGACTGTAGCCGCTCATGTTTAGCAGCCGACTGTAGCCGCTCATGTTTAGCAGCTGACTGTAGCCGCTCATGTTCAGCAGCCGACTGTAGACGCTCATGTTTAGCAGCCAACTGTAGACGCTCATGTTCAGCAGCCGACTGTAGCCGCTCATGTTCAGCAGCCGACTGTAGACGCTCATGTTCAGCAGCCGACTGTAGCCGCTCGTGTTTAGCAACCGACTGTAGCCGCTCGTGTTTAGCACCGACTGTAGCCGCTCGTGTTCAGCAGCCGACTGTAGACGCTCATTTTTAGCAGCCGACTGTAGCCGCTCATGTTTAGCAGCCGACTGTAGCCGCTCGTGTTCAGCAGCCGACTGTAGACGCTCATGTTTAGCAGCCGACTGTAGACGCTCATGTTCAGCAGCCGACTGTAGACGCTCGTGTTCAGCAGCCGACTGTAGCCGCTCAGGTTTAGCAGCCGACTGTAGCCGCTCGTGTTCAGCAGCCGACTGTAGACGCTCATGTTCAGCAGCCGACTGTAGACCCTCGTGTTCAGCAGCCGACTGTAGACGCTCGTGTTCAGCAGCCGACTGTAGACGCTCGTGTTCAGCAGCCGACTGTAGCCGCTCATGTTTAGCAGCCGACTGTAGACGCTCATGTTTAGCAGCCGACTGTAGACGCTCGTGTTCAGCAGCCGACTGTAGACGCTCATGTTCAGCAGCCGACTGTAGCCGCTCGTGTTCAGCAGCCGACTGTAGACGCTCATGTTTAGCAGCCGACTGTAGACGCTCGTGTTCAGCAGCCGACTGTAGACGCTCATGTTCAGCAGCCGACTGTAGACGCTCATGTTCAGCAGCCGACTGTAGCCGCTCATGTTTAGCAGCCGACTGAGTGTGAGAGTGAAAGGACTTTTAGAGAGTAGAAAAGTGCATGTGTGAGAGTGTGTGTGTGTGTGAGAGAGTGTGTGTGTGAGAGAGTGAGTGAGTGTGTGTGTAATCCTGTTCAACGTGTGTGTGAGAGAGATAGTGTATGTGTGTGTGTGTCTGTGTGTGTGCACTTGTTTTCAACTCCTGGTGGGGTCCATAACCTGAGATTCCACACACGTCATGGGGACTGGTTTTACGTGGTGGGGCCCGAACACCGGACCCCACTGGTCCAAGCTTAATAATCAATGGGTAATGCTTTTCTAACGGTCCTTATGCAGTCTCTGTAAAAATATGGAAAGGACCCCTGGAGGTTTACTTTCCTGAAAAAAGTGTGTTATGTGTCGGAACCCTGGTGGTGGGTTGCGGAATATCAAGGAGGGGCACACTGGGGCAATTTCAGTCCAGCAGGCTGGAGCCAATCATGGAGCAGCACAACAGAGGCTGGAGCCAATCATGGAGCAGCACAACAGAGGAAATCAGGTGTCAGGCTAGAAAAGGTGCAAGTGTGTGGTTCATTAGGCTGCAGCCAATCACAGAGCAGCACACTGAAGCGCACGCTTACAAACCACTGGTAAGTGCTGACTACAAGTCATGACTTCAAATTGTTATATAGAATGATTACAAATTATTTGTTGTTTGTGCAGCTTAGTCAAGAGTCCCTAATTGATGAAGTCGACTCAGATTCTGACGATTTAACTGTCAAGAAGAAACCTGTAAAAAAGTATGGAAAAAGAAAAATCAAAAACACTTTTCTTCAAGACTCGGAAAGTGACGAACCAAAGGCAAATAAGATTGTTATCATGCAGCTGCAAAAGAAGAAAAATGGGGGGCGAGTTTACAGCAAGAGACACTTCTGCCTCTACTGTTCAATGTCCTGCCACAAAATGTCCCGTCATTTGACTAGAAAACATGGAAATGAAAGTGACGTAGCCAGAGCATTGGCTCTACCTGTGAAATCTAAAGCACGTAAACTTCAGTTTGATTTGATCAGGAATAGTGGAAACCGTGAGCACAATGTTGAGGTTTTAAAGGCCGGCATTGGAACTTTAGTCCCAGCTAAACAGCCAAATTCCCCAGTTAAATCCAGTGAGTTTTTGCACTGTATAGACTGTGGGGCATTGCTTAAGCGAAAGTGGCTGTGGAGGCATGTGGCCAGGTGCCGGCTTTCACAGAAAGATGCCCAGGCTAAACCAGGTAGAAGTAGGGTCCAGTCCCTCTGCTCCCTAGCCCAGCCTGTACCGGAGGGCATCAGCAAAAAGCTGTGGTCTTTAATTTGGGCAATGCATCAGGATGAGGTCACGGGTGTTGTCAAAGCAGAAAAGGGGATTCTGAGACTCGGAGAGCACCTGTACTTAAAACACGGGCATGATAAGACTAAGCATGATTACATTAGGCAGAAAATGAGAGAAGTCGGTAGGTTAATTAACGAAGCAAAAACCGCAGGGAAACTGAAAACAATTAAGGATTTCTTTATTCCTTCCAACTTTAACCATGTGATTGATGCAGTCAGGTCTGTGGCTGGATATGATGAGGAAACAAATCAATACAAGACTCCATCCTTGGCCCTCAAACTCGGCCATAGCCTCAGAAAGCTAGCAGATATTCTTGAATGTGACTCAAAAATGGAGCATTGTGTTGATGAACTATTTATTAAAAACCTCCAACGAAGCCGGCTGCTTTTTGAGAAGAGGTGGGACGTCTGTGTTTCTTCTGCTGCCCTACAGACCCTCCGGCAAGCCAAGTGGAACACTCCGGACCTGCTCCCTCTGACTGAGGACGTTAGAGCCATGCATGCACATATTGAGGTATGTCGACCTGAATATGTGCAAACCCTAATAAGTGAGCCAACGTCTAAGCATTGGTCTAAACTGGCAGTTTTGACTCTTTGTGAGGTCATCATTTTCAATCGAAGAAGGGAAGGTGAGGTTTCAAAGATGCCACTGACAGCCTTTACCTTAAGAAGTAAGACTGGGATCCATTCTGACATTGCTCTGGGACTGTCCCAACTTGAGAAAAAGCTGTGTCAGCATTTTCAACGCATTGAAATTAAAGGGAAAAGAAGTCGGAAAGTGACGGTTCTTTTGACTCCTGAAATGATTGCTTCGATGGAGGTGCTGGTGGAGAACAGAAGGGCCTGTTCCATCTCTGACCATAACCCATACTTCTTTTCCCGCCCGGGCGCAGACACCCACATCAGGGGATCAGACTCCCTACGCCAGGTAGCCAAAGAATGTGGTGCGGTGCATCCAGAGATGCTATCCTCAACCAAACTTAGAAAGCACATAGCTACTATGTCTACAGTTCTCAATATGAAAGAGAATGAGATGGACATACTTGCCAACTTCCTCGGCCATGACATTCGCATCCACAGGCAATATTACAGACTACCAGAGGGGACACTGGAGCTGGCCAAAATCAGCAAAGTGTTGATGGCCATGGAGCAGGGAAGAGTGACGGAATTCGAAGGAAAGAGCCTCGACCAGATACAAATTGAGCCTGAAGGTAATTCTTGATATTATTAAAATATGTATGATTTTTTTCCCCTAAAGGCCACTTGTATTTTTATTTTCTGTGCGACAGGGAGAGCAGTAGAGATCCTCTCACAAACGGACGGGCTAAAAGAAACTTCAAGCGGAGAACCTTCAACCATTCATCCAGATGCACCCCATGGTAGTGGCAGTGCCCCTTCTGGTAAGTGTACCAGGTGGGGGATTACAGCCAGGCTGCTTGGTCCTAACCCTGGGAGTGTATATTGCTAATATATTTTTTATTTCTCTCCCTAGAACGTTAGAGAAAGCCATGGTCTGCATCTGAGGTGAAGGCTGTGGAGAAGACCATGACACCTTTCATACAGACTGGAAAGGTCCCTGGGAAGTCTCACTGCCTGGCCTGGCCTGGCCTGGCCTGGCCTGCATTAATGCCTCACCAGATGACCTTAGACATCGGACATGGAGTGGCATTAAATTCTATGTCAAAAATAGAATCACTGCAATTCGAAAACAAAATCTAAAATAAAATTCCTTTAAAATAGTTGTTTGGTTTCTATTGACTGTTTTGTATTACTTAAAGTCTTGGTAAAAAAAGATTTATGTCTATGGGTCCCATTCTGAACGGCCCTGTCAAAGGGACCCACCAGGTAACAAAAACGTGTATGTGTGTGTGTGTGTGAGAGAGTCTGTGTGTGTGAGAGAGAGAGAGTGTGTGTGTGTGTAATCCTGTTCAGCGTGTGTGTAGTATATTTAGCTCCTGAATCCTCTTACTTCCCGCTCTCATGTCTCAGAGCGGTTCCTGCTTCTCGCTTCTGTCGTGTTCAACAATGACCTGTGTCCGGCCCCAGTGAGCTCCGGACACTCACCTACCACCTATCCCCGCCCACTTCTCCAAACAGGAAGTCAACACAATCTGTTCCTATCATGAGGCGTCTCCAACACTTTCCATCTGAAACTTATATACTCAATGTGGCTGAGGCTGTAGACCCAGGACTGAGGCCGTAGACCCAGGACTGAGGCTGTAGACCCAGGACTGAGGCTGTAGACCCAGGACTGAGGCTGTAGACCCAGGACTGAGGCTGTAGACCCAGGACTGAGGCTGTAGACCCAGGACTGAGGCTGTAGACCCAGGACTGAGGCCGTAGACCCAGGACTGAGGCTGTAGACCCAGGACTGAGGCCGTAGACCCAGGACTGAGGCCGTAGACCCAGGACTGAGGCTGTAGACCCAGGACTACTTTTTAGTGTAACAGATTAATTTGTACGTTATAGTCATTATTAAAATGCCCCTCTTTGAATCAAATGGGCAAATGAACGAGAATAAAGGTAAAGCTGGGCGACCTGACTTTGTACGTCATGTCAACGTCACATGTTGTGAACCAATCAGATCAGCAGATTACACAAAGCCCTGAGAGTCTGTATGTGACGCTTTGGGCGGAGGATGATTGGTCCTCTCTGAACGGAGGCGAAACACGTGATGATAACTATGATAGAAGCAACTGTGAAGAGTCAGGAACCAGAGGCAGTCTGTGGGTTCAAAGTTCGGGATCTCAGCTTTAATGACGTCAGTGCGTGAAAAGTTAGAGCTTCTTATTGTGAAAGGAGGAGTCGGACATGAGACCACACCTCAGCCTCCACCGCAGAGACTGAGACCAGAGACCCTGAGACCTGTGGACCGAGACCCGGGGACTGAGACCCTGAGAACCGGAGACTGAGATCCGGGCCCGGACCTGAGCCTGGACCTGAGCCTGGACCTGAGCCTGGACCTGAGCCTGGACCTGAGCCTGGATCTGAGCCTGGACCTGAGCCTGGACCTGAGCGAGGTAATGTCCTCACACACACCCGGGGTTACTGCATTCTGAACGGGACCGTATGGACAGGGACCGGGGGGACACGCGCACGTCCCAGAGCCCTGCGCACGTGAGGACCAGGGCTGGACCTGGACGTGCGGGACAGTCCAGGACAGTCTGGGACAGTCTGGCACAGTCTGGCACCGTCCGGGACAGTCTGGCACAGTCTGGCACCGTCCGGGACAGTCCGGGACAGTCCGGCACAGTCCGGGACAGTCCGGCACAGTCCGGGAGAGTCTGGGACAGTCCGGGACAGTCTGGGAGTGTCAGAACGTATAACAAACTCAGTGTAGTCAGTGTATTTGTGTCTCGCCCTGATGTGGTCTCAGACTTTACAAAGTTGTGGATTCTCCAAAAACAGATCAGAGAATCACACGGTTCAAACACAGCCAATCCAATGATAACAAACACATGGAGACTGTCCACAAGTGTTGTTAAATGTCCTTTAATGTCCTCAGAGATGAACCATAAACAGAGTGAGAAACCTCCTCTGCTGACGCCTCTGTTCTCTCTTGGCTCCAGCTTTGGTCAAAGTAAAGTCAGAGACAGAGGCTCTTGTGACGTCCATCTCTATCCGTGTTAAAGTCCAGAGTTATTCACTCCGCTTCTCAAGGATGCACCGCGCAGGACACGTCTCCCCGGGAGTGGCCTGTCTCCCCCTCCTCCCCCTGCCCCCCCTGTCTCCCCCTCCTCCCACCGCCCCCCCTTTCTCCCCCTGCCCCCCCTGTCTCCGCCTCCTCCCCCTGCCCCCCCTTTCTCCCCCTCCTCCCCCTGTCTCCCCCTCCTCCCTCTGCCCCCCTCCTCCCCCTGTCTCCCCCTCCTCCCTCTGCCCCCCCCCTCCTCCCCCCTCCTCCCCCTGTCCCCCCCCTCCCCCTGTCTCCCCCAGGCCTGTGATGACCAGTACGTGAGTCTCAGGCTCCAGGAAGCAGAGCTTATGTAACCGCTGTTTTCCACTGGCTTTACACCAACGTCCGGTCCCAAGACCTGTGTCCGGTCCAGCCCGGTCCAGCCCGGTCCCGGGACTACAGGACATTACAACACATACTGTATTATTTTCCTTTAGATTTTCAAGAAAAAGTACATGAACCTTTTGAGCACGACCTGCTGAATATAAACATAAACAAAAGCCCCATTTCCACCAGCTCTATACTCTACTCAGCCTACACTACCCTACTCTACTCTACTCTACCCTACCCTACCCTACACTACCCTACTCTACTCTACTCTACCCTACCCTACCCTACTCTACTCTACTCTACTCTACTCTACCCTACCCTACCCTACCCTACTCTACTCTACTCTACCCTACCCTACTCTACTCTACTCTACCCTACCCTACTCTACTCTACTCTACCCTACCCTACCCTACACTACCCTACTCTACTCTACTCTACCCTACCCTACCCTACTCTACTCTACTCTACTCTACTCTACCCTACCCTACCCTACTCTACTCTACTCTACCCTACCCTACTCTACTCTACTCTACTCTACTCTACCTTACACTACCCTACTCTACTCTACTCTACCCTACCCTACACTACCCTACTCTACTCTACTCTACCCTACCCTACCCTACTCTACTCTACTCTACTCTACTCTACTCTACTCTACCCTACCCTACTCTACTCTACTCTACCCTACCCTACTCTACTCTACTCTACTCTACCCTACCCTACTCTGCACTACTCTACTCTACTCTACTCTACTCTATACTACTCTACTCTACTCTACCCTACCCTACCCTACTCTACTCTACCCTACTCTACTCTACCCTACCTTACTCTACCCTACTCTACTCTACACTACCCTACCCTACCCTACCCTACTCTACCCTACTCTACTTTACTCTATACTCTTTAAAACTGTGGTTTTTGGCTCTCTGTGATATTTGATATCGTCTTTGTAAAATATGACCAAGGACTGGCCAATCAGAAGCCTTCAAGCAGGGGAAACTCCATCTTAGTAACCGCCTTAGTAACCATCTTAGTAACCGCCTTAGCAACCGCCTTAGCAACCGTCTTAGCAACCGTCTTAGTTACCGTCTTAGTTACCGTCTTAGTAACCGTCTTAGTAACCGCCTTAGTAACCGCCTTAGCAACCGCCTTAGTAACCGTCTTAGTAACCGCCTTAGTAACCGCCTTAGCAACCGCCTTAGTAACCGTCTTAGTAACCGCCTTAGCAACCGCCTTAGCAACTGTCTTAGCAACTGTCTTAGTAACCGTCTTAGCAATTGTCTTAGTAACCGCCTTAGCAACAGTCTTAGCAACCGCCTTAGCAACAGTCTTAGCAACTGCCTTAGCAACCGTCTTAGTAACCGTCTTAGCAACCGTCTTAGCAACCGTCTTAGCAACCATGTCTGCCTGTGTTAAGGCGCAAAGCTAACACTGGCCCAGTCCCATTTTTAATTATGTTTAATAAAGTTTAGGTCTGAAAATGACCACCTCTTGACGAGTCGATGACGTAACCTGCCACTCAAACCTGTGCACTTCAAACAAATGCACACTTCGTAGAGGACTGTAGGGGGCAGTGTGGGTAATGGGACTGGGCCACTGTCATCACAATTGCCCATATAAGAAAACTGGCTCCAGCTCATGTTCAGATGAGCTGTGGTGATGTCACACTGTGGTGATGTCACACTGTGGTGATGTCACACTGTGGTGATGTCACACTGTGGTGATGTCACACTCATGGTGTCTCTGGTCTCTCCTCAGCTGAGCTCCGAAGGGGGGGGTGAGCTGGATCCTGGACGATGCCGGCCAAAACCCCCATGTACCTGAAGACCCCCACTGACCGCAGGGGCCGTAAGCTGAGGCTGCGGGACGTCCTGTCCGGGGACATGATCAGCCCTCCTCTGGGGGACGTCCGCCACAGCGCACATGTGGGGCCCCAGGGGCCGGGGGACATGTTCGGGGACGTGGG